CTGGACAGCGTTAGGCCTTATAGTCGGGCTACCTTAATTAGAAAGGGGGCGAGGGGTTTTAGTATCTTTAGGGTAAGCGCGGTTCGTAGCCGGGGAAAGAATAAATAATAATAATTTTAGGGACCTAGCCGCTAAAATAATTATTTTTATTACGAAACGAGCCGTAGGAGTTTAATACCCTTAGTTATCGCCGGGAAGGCTAACCGAAGCGATAGGTAAGATATTATTAAATATATCGATATTCGATAATTACTATTACGTTTACGTTAATAATATAGTTTTTTCTTTATATATATTATTAAAAATATAAAAACGGTTATCCTTTATAACTTTAGTATATAAGTATAAATTATATTTATTTAAATTAGAGGGAAAGTATTTTCGTTTCTTTACTTTTAAGTTCCTAATATTTTAAATTAAACTAACCCGGAAATCCCTACAATTATTTATTATCGCTAAATAATATATTAAAAGGATTCCTCCTAACTAAAAATAGGAAAGAACTTTAATAATTAATACGGAAATAAAGTTTATTAACGAGCTAGTCTTAACCAATACTTTTAATTTACTTCCCGGTCTTATCCGGACTATATACTTAACTCTCTACTCGCGGATAAAAAGTTTAAAGTTTAATCGATAATAAAAGAATTTTATCCGATTAAACGAAAAAAAATTATTTCCGTTAAACCTCGCGGGGTTTAGTAAAGTTATCGGTACTTATTATCGTTCGTAGCTTCGTACTTCCTTTAGTACCCAGGGCTTATAAGTCCAGTTTAGACCCTAAGCTTTGTTTAACCCGGGCACGACCTCCATTTAAAATAGTAAGAAAACATATAAAATAACTATAATACTACAAATATACCTTTAATAGGTCTTAGAATAAACACACCTGCGTGACAGTAACTCGCTCGCAGGCCGCACTTCACGTAGGACAAAGAAAAGACACTATAGGCTCGCAGGCAACATAATAAGCACCGGATTAGCCTGATCAGAGGGCCAGAATTGCCTGCACGCGTGTAAGGCACAAAATACGAAGAAAAGAATAAAAGTCGATGATCTATCTAAAATAGAATGTCCGAAGCAGACCGCTTATATACATGACCCCTGAACCCCTGAGTCCTCTGAGAGCCCCGCTTCCTTACTCATACTCTCAGGCCTGTGGCCGCACCCCAAACCAATAATCCCTAGTTTTTAAGTGGGCCTTTTTAAGTATATTTTTTAACGGATTATACTATTATCTATAGAAAAATAAATGTTGGGATTAACAGAATTTACTAGGAGCGTAGTCGGGTATTAGGAGACTATACGTTGTTCAAACATCTGCTTTACTTCAGAGAGCACGACTCGTTGCGCTCCATCGCTTTCTCAACTAAAACCTTAATCTCCTAGGGGTTTCCCTTTGCATAGCGCCACACGAAATAATATTTGCTACTCCAAGACATTACGATACTTTATTTTCGGCGTAGTGCTTAGAATAGCAGTCTTTCTCAAGAGCTACTACGACAAGTTACGCATATCGGGATCCACCGTTGCGTTTTGATCTAGTAAAGGAGCTGGAAAACAAAAGCACCAATGTCGCTATCTATCCATAGCTACAGTCCAGCATCCAGAGGGAAAGTCATCTAGGCACCCTTTAGGCATCATTCTGTCGGACTTGTTGTCAGTCTACCGACTCTCACCAAACTATCGTTGATGATTGTTTTCTATGCTCCGCACCCGGAATTCATTAATCAATTCAATAGGTCCGCTGGCGTAATGGCAGCGCGTCTGAATACGATGTTACATTGTGCAATCAGGAGGTTCCAGGTTTGACCCCTGGGCGGATCGTTTTCTATATTTAACTACCTTATAGTAAACAACATTTTGTTTTTGTTACTTGGGACTGCTCTACCACTGTGGGCTTTACAAGTTTTATAGTTATCCAAAAAGGCGGCTGGTCTTTTTACACGAAGAGGTGTTCAATAACACACACTACTAATCCTGGTGGCCCGCTGGCCAAATGGTAAGGCGTCAGATTTCGGTTAAGAATCACTCTGAAGATTGCGTGTTCGAGTCGCGCGTGGGTCGAAACATTACTTTTGCATGAGGGTGAGACAAGACTATAATTTTTTTGACACAGGCAAAATGCTAGCTCACATTGACAAACATATATCCCTCTTATTCTCCCACCTCAGGCCTTGAGCTGCACCGCGCGCTTCGCCGTGGTCCCAGATCGCGTTGCCTGTCCGTTGAGTGCACTCCTGCATGTAATAGTGCCAGGCCGGTCAACCCGTCTCGAGGAGAAGGACCACAACCCACTGCCGGGAGGAGTTGCCGCCATAGCGCTGGTTGTGGTACCCCTATCACCGGGATAAGTTACCTGCATGTTGACCTTCCAGTCGACCAGATACAAACTGCTGCAAGTGACACCGATGGTGCCACTCTGGCCGCTCGTCCAGGTGACGGCATCAACCGACACGATATCCGGCCCAGAGAACAGCGAAACGGTGTAGGTGAAGTTACCCGTGGTGTTGTGGTTTGCCGACGAAATGGCGAGCTGGAACACGTACTCCCCGGTGGGTGCAGAGTTGGCAAAGCGAACCGAGATGAACTTGGAGTCAGACGAAGGAGTGAAAGTGGCAAGGTTGGACTGGGTTCCAGCAGACTGATCGGTCAACACGGACCAGCTCCAGGTCAGGGTGTCGTTGCTGCCCATGTTGTTGTTGTCCTGGAAGCCGCGAAGGGTAAAGGTGTCATCGTGACGGACGTAGAGACGCTTGGTGTGAGGAACGGTGGCAACTTGGCTTCCGGTGGTAGAGATGGGGATCGTGGCATCGATACGGGGGTTGGCTGTCTGCGGCTCCCCCTCGCCCGGTTCTCCAGGGGTGACCGGCCCGGCGCAAGTCGAAATGTTGAAGACGGTGACGCCGGACTGGGGGAAGGGGTCGAGGGGACCAAAGATGTTGCCATCCTCGTCGGGACCGACACCACGAGTCAGATGGGACATGGCGGCATACTCGTTGATGATGGGCTCGATGCCGGGAACGAGGAGCTCGGGTTGAATCCACTCGAGAATGGGAGCGACATACTCGCCCGCTACAATTCCGTTCCTGGTGACCACAGTCCCGCTAGAGGCAACCATGCGGTACTCACGCGTGTAGATGGAAGGGGTGGTCCCGTCGATGCGCGCGATCCACTTGTTGCGTCCACCCTCTTCGGGACGGGCCTGTCCAACACCGATAGATCTGTAGGTTTCATGGCCGGTGCAGGGATCGATATCAATGGCGCTGATGGAGACGGTGACGCTGGGATCACTCGTGTAACCGATGAACCGTGTTTCAGCCACCTCGGCGTTGGTGTTGGGAGTGTACACGCCAACCAGTGTCTCTTCCACTCTGATGTAAGCTGGGCTGCCTGTCGTGGTGATCTGAACGTTCCAGGCGACAATGTCGAAGCAGATGAGCTGGTTATGCGCGTTGCGGAAGCCTCTGTACATGATAAAGTCTCCAGGAAGGAAAGGAGCCATGACCAACGGGTCGGGGGCTTGACTGTTTACTTTGGGTTAGTCAACAGACAACTTTGAGCCAGTTCGTACTTACAAGATTCTGCGTGGGGTGCCAGTAACAACAGGCCGCTGCGAGGATGGGCAAAGTGTGTCGTTGGACGACCGAGGGACACACATGGGGAAGCCAGAGAATGAGCTAACGCTAGGGCTCTTGTCATCGGCCACCATAAAGGGGGAGGAATAGCCGGCCGAGAAGACGGCATTGGGGTCGTTGATTCGAATGATGGGGCCGTTCAGAATCTTCATGGTGCCGTCAAAGTTGATCTCCTCAATGTAGCCCTGGTTGATCTCCATGGCGAACTCCTGAACAATGATCTGGGCTGCGATCGAGACGCCATTCACAATGTTGCCAGCGACCTGTTGTTCGGTTAGTATATTCTCGACGGTGTCGGATGATGTGAGAGACATACATTGACCTCGTATCCCATGACGGCAGCCTTTTGAGCTACAAAGTCCTTCCAGGGCACATAGGCCGCTGGAAAGGTGACCAACATGTTCTTGGGAACCTGGACTGTCCATCCATTTACCGAGATGGTTCCTCCAGTGTTATAGGAATCATCGGTGGCGGTGGCACTTCTCAGGTCAGTGTTCAGGCCCACAAAGCCAGCGTTTGGTGTCACTCACTCAACAAGAGCTCCGTCCAGCCAGATGGGGATGTCAACCCCCAAGGCCCCGAGGACGAGGCAGAGAAGTGGGAAGAGCACAAGCATGGCTCAAAGTCTGGGCAGTGTATGGTTCAGTGATGAATGGTTTGATGGAACTGGTTGTCCGTGGCTGATTCCAACTGATTTCCCAAGGACACATTCCTGTGTCTTTATACATTTGAACACCTCAACACAATCTCGGCAACTCCAACCGGTTCAGTCATTTCACCTTGTACAACTTGTTCATAACTACATGACTATTCACACCGGCTCGACCTTCCAAGGTTCACTCATTGTAGACAACTGGGTAGTAATTCTGAACTGATCCCGAGGTACCTTCCCAATCCGACGATTCGATATTCTGGGCATTGCAGTAGAGATGGCCCCCCAGCTCAAGGGGCGACATAGACATGGTGTTGTTCATGTTGAAACCTCTCATCTCATTACGGAAATGGTGGGCGACTGCGGCCCAGCCGACCCACTGCAGGAGGATATCGCTCTCGGATGCTTGCCAAGGAGTATTTACAAAGACAATGAAACCGAAGGTTCGAGTATGCTTGGCTGCTTGGTGATGACCAAGGGGTAGGTCTGTCAAGTGTGTTTGCATCCCTTAGCTAAAGGCCCCGAACCGACACCCTCTGATACTACCACCGTAAATTAAGCGAGACAGGATAGATAAAGCAAACACCTATACTATACCGGCCATGTCACAAGATCGACCAAACTGCCGAGCCTCAACCACGGTTCGCCACCCGCGGCAGGCCTAGAGCGGGCCTGAGTACTGGCAGCTCCCGAGCTCTCTCAAAATAGATTCACCGTGCTGCGTCCAAAGCACCCAATAGTTCAACTCGCTCGGTTTCATACACCGTTCTAGAGAAACGAGCTCATTTCTTTTTAAATGGGAGTTGGACTAGCGATTATCATATTGGTTCCGGCAGCGGCAAGTCTACCCGACAGATGTCGCGTATTCCTGCTCCTTGTGTCTGTATGCATCCGCGGAGGATTGTGGGCACCTTTGTCTTGACATGTGCAGCTGGCAAGCCATCGAAGTAGGTTGCGGGGAAAGTTCCGTCTGCTCGTGTTCACTCCCATATGTATAAGGCTTAGCGCGGGAGTAGCCATTACAGACGCCTGTCAATAATTCGGATTTAGGGTAGCATTCGTGGGTCGTGCCGTGCGGAGATGCAACCACGACGCTAACTCCGCCCCCAGCCGAGCTCGCTTGTTGTGTTCGTTTAGAAGTGCCGAACCAGAGCTGCTGTATCGACGGAAACACTCCCTCGTCAGTCAGTCGGGTCAATGTCAATCCTGCAGTGGCAGACGATACAGCGATGAAAACGTCTGACATGATGCAAGCCTTGGGCTGTATGGCGGGCAAGTTGACACGGGGTGACATGGGATGACATGCGGGTCAAGGTTGTGGACATGGAGAGCTCGGTCCAATCATTTCCCCCCTTGCCCCTTTTCTCGCCGCAAACATGCATCATTCACGTCGTCCATCGCGCTTCGACAGAAGCCGTAAAGAAGCAAATGGGTTGAAACATGGGCTCGGAATCCGTCGGATAGCATCCTGGACACGATGCCAAGAATACGAGATAGAAAACCAAAAGAGGATAACGCCAGAGCGATCCATGTGCGGGAGTGAGGCGCTAGTAGCGCCATCGGTTTAAGTCAGGAGCTAGCATCCAGCTCTTCGGGGAAACATATGGAAGAAGCCAAGTGCAGAATCGTGCCTGGAGATTCCCTGATCTCGTGCAAAGTCTAGACCTGAGCCCTAATGCAGGACATTGATGTTGTGATCCCGCCGTGATGCCGCTGCTAAGCCTCAATTTATTGAACGCCAAGTATACCGTCGGCCTTGGGGAAACCAAGCCGTCAACGGCCTTTTCGATGTTAGTGTCTTGACAAAGCTTATCTCGGCTAAGCAAACCACCATTTCTTGGGAAACAAACGGTCAGACTGGGGTAGGAAGATATCGATAACAAGGCCTCTCTGTCTCGACCACCACGTGTGGCTGCCACGCCGCGAGGCTCTCGTTGCATGCTCTTGGTGCCAATAATCAAGGGTAAGAATTCCCCTTTTAGCACACACCGAATGCAAAGGAAGAGGCGCTCGTCAGTCACCTGGGGCCACTTTATGACTGATGCATCCACCACAAGGATCTTGGCCAAACACCCCAGCGTGATATTGAAGGTGGTGGATGCATCCACGCTTGCACTTTCCTCAGATTTGAGTTCATGAGGTCTACAACTTGACGACTCAAGGAAGTTCTTGCCGTCTTGCCCCGTGCCCACCACCATCACGATCCAATTGACGAGACTATCGGTTCACTAGCACCATCACATTGTGAATGGAGCTGTTCAGAGTCCAAATAGTGGCGAGTTGAGCCCAAGCGGCGCAAGCCGGGCGTCAAAATGATTCACTGCTCCTGGGACTCCACCTCCCGAGTTGCGAGGGTGTCGTGAGGAGGGATAAAAGAACCAGACTACCTGCGTCTGGGACTCGAAAGATATCTCTCCTCAAGCGGCTTCCTCCCTTCCATCTCTCGCAATGTTGTCCATCCTCACTTCCGCTCTTCTCGCCGTCTCGGCCTCGCCTGTTGTCTTGGGTCGGGCTACGCCTGAGCAAAAGCACAAGCTGGTCGCCAGAAAGGATTGGGAGAGTCCTACCTATTCGTGGCTTTACCAATTTCCTCTGCCTATTCCTCCGGTCAAGACGCCCAAACTGTGAGCTTTTCTCTCATAATCTTTGCTTCACTGGGGGTATTGATTCGATCATAGGACCGTTACCAACCTGGTGACTGGCAACCCCATTCACTATTACGAGGTCTACATCAACCGGTTCACCCAACAAGTGTATCCAAACAAGGGTCCCGCAACTCTTGTTGGTTACGACGGCATCTCTCCCGGCCCGACCTTTATCGTGGAGAGAGGTCATGAGGCTGTTGTGCGCTTCGTCAACAATGCCAGCATCGAAAACTCGGTCCATCTCCACGGGTCATACTCTGTGAGTCTCCTTGTCGTTGCTTTGATGGCTGGTGACTGACATTTGTCAAATAGCGCGCTCCTTGGGATGGTTGGGCAGAGGATGTGACCATGCCAGGCGAGTTCAAGGACTACTACTATCCCAACCAACAGGCGGCCCGTTTCCTGTGGTACCACGATCACGCATTCATGCATACTGCTGAGAATGCATATTTTGGTATGATGGCCATCTCTGCAGCTTTGTTTTCATCCGCTGACACATACAAGGCCAAGCTGGGGCCTACATTATTCATGATCCTGCTGAAGACGCCTTGAACCTTCCCTCAGGTTACGGTGTTCATGATATTCCTCTGGTGCTCTCTTCCAAGCAGTACAACAACAATGGCAGTCTGTTCACCACCAATGGTGAGACGGACTCGCTCTTTGGCGATGTTATCCACGTCAACGGCCAGCCCTGGCCCTACTTCAACGTTGAGCCTCGCAAGTACCGCCTCCGCTTCCTCGACGCTGCCGTCTCACGCACCTTCAAGCTCTACTTCCAGCGTCAAACTGGCAGCTCAGCCAAGATTCCTTTCCAAGTCATTGCCACAGATGCCGGCTTGATGGCCTCACCAGCCACCACAAACGACCTTTACATCAGCATGGGAGAGCGGTACGAGGTTGTCTTTGACTTTTCGCCCTTTGCTGGCCAAAACATCACCTTGCGCAACACGGACGACGTGGGCCAGGACGACGATTACCTCCACACCAACAAGGTCATGAGATTCATCGTTGGCAACACCCCAGTGACCGACACCAGCTCCATTCCCAGCACTCTGGCTACTGTCGACTGGCCGACCTCTGATGGAACCGGTGTGGACAGACACTTTAAGTTTGACCGCTCCAATGGCGAGTGGCAGATCAACGGAGTCGTCTTTGCCGATGTCAACAACCGTGTGCTTGCCAATGTCCCCCGCGGCAAGGTTGAAATTTGGGAGCTCGAGAACGGCGGCGGCGGATGGAGCCACCCAATCCACATTCACCTGGTCGACTTCAAAGTCTTGTGGCGCTCGAATGACGATGGCAGACCGGTCTACAACTACGAGGCCCAGGGTTTGAAGGATGTTGTCTGGCTTGCGCCCAACGAGATTGTCAGAGTGGAGGCCCACTACGCCCCATGGGACGGAGTCTACATGTTCCACTGCCACAACCTGATTCACGAGGATGTAAGTATTCTTCTGCCCGTCGCCCTGAGCGCAGAGCTAACCTTGACACTAGCACGACATGATGGCTGCCTTCAACGTCACTGCTCTGACTGACTTGGGATACAACGAGACCGCGTTCCGTGACCCCATGGAGGCCAGATGGAGAGCCGAGCCGGTCACGGCTGCCAAGTTCACCACGGCTGCCATCACCGAAAAGATTCAGTTCATGGCCGGACTGCAGCCCTACAACAATGTCGAGGAAGTCTTGGAGGTTCTCGACGAGTACTGGGCCACGCACAGCAAGCGTGACGCCCAAGACCCTGCTCCCAAGACCAGAAGAATGAGAATTGAGGGCGGGAAGGTCAAAGAGGTCCGGTGATATGATAAGGAATGATATTTGGAGTGGGTGCAGCGGTATAGGTATGGGTATGGTTTTGTAACAGTATGTACACATATGGTGAGAGGCAGGGTACATAGCTTTTAGGGTAACGATGCAATGTCGAGTTTTACGAATCCGTTCAGAGACACATGAGTGGCCAACTTTGGCATCCACCAAGCAGTCACGTCGCCAGGATCAAAGTGATGGAAACCTTGCGCAGCATGGAGACCAGGGCAATGTTATGTTTACTACCCCTAAACCCCTGAGCCATGACACCACAATTTGAGCACCCAAAGAGACAGCTTTTGTAGGTATCTGATATATCATAATCATTAAGTCATCAATCTACTCCAATGTCCACAGCTCACCCGTGGCCTGGGCCTCCTTGACGAGCTCGTTGTAAATGGCGAGCTTCTCCTCGTAAATCTTGACCCAATCCTCTTCCTCCTCTCTCTTGCTGGCTCCGCTCCCACCAAACGCTCTAACGGCAGCATGGTAGACATCCGCCAGAGCACGGCAGACGGCACCGTGGCCGTTGGAGCTGCACTGGTAAAGAAGACTGCGACATGGTTAACATCCATTCAATGGGCCGGTAATTCCACAAGACAGGTACATACTCAACCTTGAACTTGTCGTCGATCCTCTTGCGATTGGCATCCGTGAACCGGCTTTGCTTCTTGTAGTTTCTGTAACCAAAGTCGTGGCGGTGGCAGGCGGGAGTGAATGGGAAGCCAAACGGGTTGTCGGGGGAGTTTGAGCAGCCATCCGAGCTCCAGTCCAGAGACGCCGGGTTGCGGTTGTTGCGCCTGACGGTGAACTGAGGGAGGGTCAGAGTGAAGATGTAGTTGTCGGTCGTGGCAACGGCTGTCTGTCTGGACGCGATGCCCGACGAGTCGGCCGCAGGCAAGGCCAGGACGGCGGGGAGAAAGGCGAGGAGGGAGAGTTTCATGGCGGCGGCTTTGAGAGGGGGTGAAGAGGATGAGGAGCAATGATGAGGTCTGGACGCCAATGGTATGGCTTTATACTTGATCCCTCTCTTCGTCTCCTCCTCACAACGACAAGGAAACCATCGGCGGTTTCCGACCAACTGCTGGTCGTCGGTCGCAAAACGGGGTTCTCGATATGGACGAACCTGCCTCATCCAGCAATGCCAACCGAGTAGGCCATGTATGACAACGGTTCGGGATGCCACGCTGACGATCAACTTTGCCGGATGCGGCAGGCCTGACAGTGCAAGATCATGGTGATACAAAAAGAAGAGCACGTCAAAAACGTGCGATGATGGCTGGCTGGGTCATCAACACGGCCGAAGCTGGGTTGTGTAGACATTTGCGTCGCAACGAATGGGTCACGAATGCCCGTGTGCGGTTAAACAGCGACCTGGTTGGCTAAGAACAGATTGGCCAAGATGGCGAAGTGGTGATTTCGAAAACTAGCTTACTAGACTAGTTGCTCCGATTCGGGGCTCCTTGTGTCCGATGTGACGGCGGACTGACAGTACAGAAGGTTAAAAGTCTGGTTCAAAGCTGGGCTGGGACGGTTGGAAATGGCGGGACACTCTCGTTTCAAACACTTATAATTCCTACGCGTCAAATCCCAACCCCCAACCCGTAACCCCGCACTCGCTTCTCGGCGATCAGGTACCCGCAACCCAAACAAAACACGTGGTGGCGTTTGTCGGCTCTTTGGGTAAAATGACGTTTGAGCCCAAGGTCACCAGTCATCAAACAATCCCCTCCGAACTGTGGCATACAGCGTTGCAACACTCGCCAAGAGCGGCCAGCATCTTATCAACCAGTCTTGGGCCCAGGCTCAAAACGGCAGGCAGTCCAGGATACCAAGACGCGTGAATCCCCCACGATGGGGCTCCAACCTCCCCCAGATAAGACGGAAGACTACTACGACCTTGGCGGACTTTTTACATCGACCATACACCACCAGAACAGCCACGAATACACAGATATGGGTTCAACCGGGGGGCTCGTGTGGGTGCTACGGGTTTCAACCATGATAGAGGCCGTCAAGTGCTTTGGAGCGGGGCGGCTCTGACAGGACCCCGACTGCGCCATGACATACTGGGGTCTTGCTTTATGCCCTGGGCCCCAACTACAACAAAGCCGTGGGCTGCCTTTGATGACGAGGAAGGAAGCCGAAACCTGCGGCGGGCCAGAGAAGCTGTGGTCGTGGCATTGGCAAAGGCGGCGGCAGCGGCGCCGGTGGAGCGAGCACTTGTTGAGGCTCTCCAGCATCGGTACCCACAAGATCGAGGAGAGGCCAAGCAGGGATACGTCTGGGAACCACACGTTTGCGCAAGCCATGGACAGTGGCATACAATGCTACACCCAAACCATCCCGACGTGGCCGCCGTCTATGTCGACGCCTTGTTGAACCTGACACCATGGGACCTCTGGGACTTGCGAACAGGAGCACCGACCAAGGGGGCGAGGACACTGGATGCCAAAGCGGCCTTGGATGACGCCCTCACCAAGCACCCCAACCACCCTGGAATGCTTCACCTCTACATTCACCTCATGGAGATGTCGGCCCAGCCGGAGTTTGCCCTGAACGCGGCCGACAGACTGTTGGGCATCATCCCCGACTCGGGCCATCTCAACCACATGCCATCTCACATTTACATGCTCTGCGGAGATTACCGTTCCGCAATAACTTCCAACTCGGCGGCTGTGCGGGCGGACCAAAAGTTTGTGCAAAGAGACGGCGCCATCAACTTTTACAGTCTGTACCGCTGCCACGACTTGCATTTTCGGCTTTATGCTGCCATGTTTGCGGGACAGTCCGCAGTGGCTCTAGAAACAGCCCAGTTGCTCGAGGAGGCGATACCGGAAGAGCTTCTGAGAGTGCAATCGCCGCCAATGGCCGACTGGCTGGAGGGATTTCTTGCCATGAGGGTACATGCGCTCGTTAGGTTTGGTAAGTGGGAGGCCATACAGCGTCTCCCTTTACCAAAAGACAAGTCGTTATACTGTTCCACGACGGCCATGATTCTCTACGCAAAGGGTGTGGCTTTCGCCAATACCGGGAGATTCCAAGAGGCCGAGGAAGCGCGAGCTCAGTTCCGGAGTGCAGTCAAGACCGTGCCCGCCTCAAGGACAGTCTTCAACAACCCGTGCCAAGGTATCCTAGCTATCGCCTCTGCCATGTTGGATGGAGAGTTGGAGTATCGTCGGGGAAATATCGAGCTGGGGTTTGAGCATCTGCGCAGGTCTATTGAGCTGGATGATGCTCTGCCGTATGATGAGCCCTGGGGCTGGATGCAGCCGACCAGGCATGCTTATGGGGCTCTGCTGTTGGAGCAGGGAAGAGTAGAAGAGGCCCTTGCGGTGTATGCAGCGGATTTGGGATTCGATGGCACCCTTCCCCGAGCCTTGCAGCACCGAAATAATGTGTGGGCATTGCATGGCTATCACGAATGCCTCACCACGCTCAAGAGGGAGGCCGAGGCCAAGATTGTGTGGCCCCAGTTGCAGATTGCTTTAGCGGTAGCAGATGTTCCCGTCATGGCTTCCTGCTTTTGCCGGAAGAATCCAGGTGGCACCCACAAGCTGTAGACCACTGCCTTGAATTGACTGGGTACTCGAGAGACGGCTTCCCTTTTGCCTCGTCACTCTGGATTGGATGTGGCATGAGTCGTCGGCATGATAGCCTCTTGTCAATCAGCGATCAAAATACACATCCCGATTTTCTGCTCCAAATCCATGCCAAATCATCTCTCCCACACATGCAGCATCATGACTTGGTTATCACCCCTCGATGATGGCCTACAATAACTGGCATTAAAGAAGGGCTTCTAGATATTCCATAAGCAAATGACAACAGTTCTTCACGGAGGAAAAGACTTGAAAGTGAAATGGATTAGGTATTCAGATGGTGAGCCCCACTGACCCTGAAACCTCAGGTTAAAAACTGATTGTCCGTACACGACAACACCAAAGGCTTTCGGGCCGGGAATGCTTGCGAGTACAACCTATCGCGGTGGGGTTTTACATACAGAGACAGACTACCATGCACGTCGACTAGACTCTTGGCACCACTCCAGACACTGCGCACGTTCTATTCCCCGGCTTTGGCCCATGACTGGTAGGCCGATCCCTTGAATTTAGACATACATCCGTTGGTGGGGGTCGTTGCTCCAGTTGTAATGGTGGTACTTGGCCGGTTTGGCAAGAGTTGATTTGTATTGAGAGATGGGGTGGAAAAGAAAACAGGTCTGCTGAGGAGAAGTGTACCCCCATATAGAAAGCCACCTCGGCACCCTTCGTAGGTATTTCTCAAGCCATACTGGTCAGCCCCACGGCATGGTTGTCTCTCGAAGGCTCAAAGAAAGATAGACATTTGTCCGCCCCAGGGTTCCAACGAGAAGCTGAACGAGTAACGCTCGACGGCCATGCCCATCTCCGGCTGTCGAGATTCTACGCTCGCGTGCTATTACACCATGCACCCCACGATTTGGCGCCGGTGGTCTATCTTGCTCCAAGTAGGAAAACGTAACCCGGTGAAACGATGGCTCAATGCTACCCTCCAGAGCTCCCTCCGTCTTTGCAGGTTTTCAGAGAGAAAAGGCTCCACAGCACGGCAAATAGCCAGGATTTGGGAAGGTGTCTGCGCCCCCTCGAACACACAACACGTTGTAACACGACTGCAAAGATAGATGTAATGAACAGTATCTTGACAGTGGTGTACCTATCTGGCTGTCTTGTGGTGCAGCGAGGTCCGAAGACGAATGAGAGTCTGCGGGAGATCGTGTTGGTGTGTTACTCTCGGAGACGGCAAGGAGGGGTTAATGCAGGAACTCGCTTTCAAATATCGACCTGGCTTATGGAAAATTCCTCCAATTTTCAAAAGATCAACACGCTGATCGGCCTCCCAGAGCTACTTGGTACATTAGACACTGGGCCGCGGCTGGGTAGAAAGTTGGTTGAGGAACCATGGATTTCCTCTTGCCCAGATGCAAGCTTACTTGTGTCATCGGATAGTTGAAAGCGCATTCCGGTCCCGTTCACCGTCTTGACAAATGAATCGGGCATCGCGATCAGAGTCCCTCGCTAGCATGGACCGCGATCTCGACCTCGAGACGGAGAAATTCTCGATTCTATACCTTGGTCATGCTTCACATAAAGGTCCGTCCATGAGGGCAAGGGGCGGCGCATCGAGGTGATTTGGGATCAACGCCCGATACAGTAGTGGCAGATGATGACCAGCGGCCACGTTTGTTGAACGAGAAGGGCCGTTCGGTAAGATGCCAAGTTCGGCGATGCTACCTGACTACCTATCTTACCTACGAGGCTTCTCCACCACACTACGACGAAAATGCGGGGAATGCCTGTCTGCCATCTTTCGCGCCCTGAATGGTGGGAACTTCCGATTGTGGAACATACCTCCGAAGACTGAAAGTTAAGGTACAGCATCGCCAGGAAACGAGTGTGGTAGCCTCAAGGTCGTGGTGTAGGCGATATGGGAGTGTACCTCGATCACATCTGCCATGTTGTACGGGAGATGATCATGTATAAGAAGACCAGGAACCCGTCGACTTGTTGTCCCGCTCCCTAGCAGCAGGCATCCCTCCATCTACCTACCTTCCCATCAGTCCCATCTCTTCATCATGCGTTTTCTCACCACCATTGTCGCGTTCACCGGGTTGGTGACTGCGCTCCCTAGCCGCATCGAAGAGATCAGGTCGCTGGACCTCCTCGAGGACCTCTCAAAGAAGCAAACTCTCGTGACCCGGCAGAGCAGTCAGACCAGAAACGAGCTCCAGACCGGTGGGACTTGCCCTCCGATCATCTTCATCTATGCTCGCGGCTCCACTGAGGGCGGCAACCTTGTAGGCGCCGAATACCTGCTGCAACCTTTGAACATATGCTAACTCACCACCACCGACAGGGCTCGTTGGGACCGTTGATCGCCGACGTGCTCGAGGCCAACTATGGCGCCAACAATGTCTGGATCCAGGGTGTCGGTGGCAACTACAAGGCCAACTTGCTTGACAACCTGCTTCCGGACGGCACCACAGCAGCTGCCATCACAGAGATGAAGAACCTCTTTACCCTGGCCAGCACCAGATGCCCATCGGCCAAGATTGTGTCTGGTGGCTACAGGTGAGCAGAAGCAAGTCCACATGTCCATGTACGGCGCTGACATCTCGACAGCCAAGGCGCTGCCCTCACGGCTGCTGCCATCCGTGACAGCACGGCCGCCATCCGGGAAAAGATCAAGGGAGTTGTTCTGTTTGGCTACACCAAGAACCGGCAGAACAATGGTGGGATCCCCAACTATCCTTCCAACCGCCTCACGGTATTCTGTGAGAGTGGAGACTTGGTGTGCTCAGGGACATTGATTGTGACACCTGCGCACGGCGAGTATCAAGACGAGGCTCGCGATCAAGCACCCAAGTTCCTCATTGCTCGCATCAACGCCAGCTGAAGGGATTATGGGATGGGAGGGAGATAGGCTCCAGGTCATGGCTGGATCAGAACTTGGGCTGAATGATGTGATGCGTTATGAAGTTAATCAAACTCATGTTTTTCAATTGGACTCTACGGAAATATGCTGGCCAGTACGTTGCCATAATCCCGATACGACAACCCCATCTTTTCGATATCGTAGTCGTTCCAGTACCCTCCTCCGGCAAGGGTACTTTGTTGATGCCACTGGGTAAGTCGGGTTCGCGCCTGAGCAACAGTGGCGCCGTAAACTGGTTTGGCGTCATTGATGACCCAGATCAGAGGAACAACCTTCATACCCAAAAATGTTTGCCATCCAGGAGGGTTATTGTATGCCCCGCCGTCGTAGCATTGTAGATACACCCGATCAAGCAGCCAGTCTTGTTCCTTGAGCCCCTGATTAAGTTGATTCTTCACGTTGAGCCAGAACTGGGCGTTCGTATATGGCGCGATGGTGTATTTGTATCCGATCTGACCCAGCATTCTTCCAAAGGCAACCGAACTGTTGAGATCATAAATGGATTCGTCGTCATTGTTGACGGCATCAAGCATCCAAGCTTCCTTCAAGGCCTGAAAGTTGCGAAACAAAGGCGTCTCTGGCCCTGGGCCTGGTGTCATTATGAGGTTTCTCACATTCTGGGCGTTCATCGAAATCTCCAGCCTCGTGGCGCCGGTTTCCCCCGTTTTCAGCGAGCGCACCTTTTGGGCCAGAGCATCACCCCCAACATAGACCCCGCCAGAAGCAACTCGCACATCTTGACTTCCAGGCGTGTTGGAATAATACATGATGTCGCCATTGCTCAAAATGCCCACGCCAAACATGATGAGAGTATTAAAGCCCGACGTCTTGAGGGCTGTTGTATTAGATTTCATGACATCTTTGAACAGGAAAATGCTTCGAACGCTGGCTGCCAGAGCAAGATGCCAGATGATGGGGAATAGGAACAGGGATCGCATTGTGGGATTTTTTTTGGCATGGTGAGCCGTGGAGTGGGTGATTTGACCTGGTGGGGGGATGGATAATTGAAAGATATATCGAGAGCTCCAACTGAAAGCAGCTCTGCTGGCTCCGTTGTCCTGCTCCATTGGGACCTGGAAATATTCTATCGTATATTAAAACGAAACTCGAGACGGGGAAATGAAACGTTCGAGGTTTGGTTGGAGTGGTGGGTAAATCTGAACTTCGGCAGTTGGTACCAGCCATCCATTCAACATGGTTGCTGGGGGATTAATCAGCTTGAAGTTTCACAGCCGCCTGCACCTGGTTTACTGTATGATGGTGTCCCTGCTATCTTCGGTTGGAAGTGACTTTTGCTGTGCCAAAGCAATAAAAGGTCTAATCGGCACCTGCTCGACTGATGAAGGCACCATTTGCTTGATTGACGACCTTTGACCGGTCGATCAAATGGTGGAAGCAGAAACCGATTGAGAGAAGAACAGAGCTCCAGCATTGACTAAGGGAGAAGCTCTTGTAGAGGGGGGCGGCATCGCAGAACTAGGAGCGACGGAAGGAATAGAGATAGAAAGGCAAGAAAAAAGCCATGCTCTAAGAAATAGCGATCAAACCAGGCGGATTCGACTGGGGTGAGGCTTGTCCGAAGGAGGTCAAAATCATGACTCGGTCGAGGTAGACCTATGAGGGGTCGGCTTGAAAGAGGTAGGTAGGCCAAGGGAGGACGCGGTCAAGGAGAACCCCCTAGAGGGGGTCTTGGATGAGGGCAGCGTAAAGGATGCAGAATCAGAAGATATGGAATCGGACGAGCTAAGCATGAACATGAAGGCAGACTTGGGGGGTGCAGACTTGATGGAGGCAGGGTGCTCAAACAACTCGAAGAGGGCTTGGAGAAAGAGGCTTGATGCAGGTGGTTCCAGTTGTGGAAATGAAGTGATAGAGCGAGCGGTGGATGATGAAAGCTGACAGAGATCTGCTACAGCTGGGGTTGCAATGGAGGAGAAGTTGCACGCTAGACTTGGTAAGGTATGGACAAGAATCAATATTGTTTCCCGTACATGTAGGTATACCACCAATAAAAGACAAAAGACTAACGGGATGGCGCCCCAAATACAAGGCACCTAAGCAGTTATCATTAGGTATCATAACTAGGGGCGGGGGTTGATTTCGAGCGTTGTCGATTGGAAGAAAAGTCCCATGACCATGACGAGGGCGTGTGAGGTTGCTGGGTGGAAAGAGTCCGAGTGGAACAGTGAATTGCGAGCAAATAGATGATCTTGCTGGTAAGCTTGGCTGGGAAGCTTGAACGCACTACAGATAAGCAACAGTGAAAGATCTCGACAACAAAGAAGAGCAGCCTTTGCTGCTGCAGTGAGAAAGAAGTGCAAGCGGGGCTTGGTGCCTGTCACGTCCTAAACAATAGCTGAATGATACCTACCTACCTATCATCACTTACCACCTCCACTGCCGGTTCTCATGCGAGGCGCCATTCAATAGCACTCTGCAGGGTGACATATCACCATCATACTAAGGGTCTCTGTGCATATGCCTGGATCTTTTCGAAGGGCGATGTCATGAACTTGGGCGCAAATAGACGCACTGCGGGAATTTTGTGTTGATTTCATGTTACCTATTGTAGGCAGAGTGGGTAGTGTGCGTCAGTACGGTGGGTTCGTGTCAGAAGTTGTGGTATATCAAACAGTCAAATCGAGGGGGGAAGGATGGTTGTATTTTCTTGCTATCTAATGTCCCAAAAACTCCCAATTCAAACCACTCAACGGTGGGTTCATTCCACCTTCCCACAGTAGCTGCTATTTATATCGGTGCCATCTTCATCCTCTCCTGTGAGCTTCATGCTCCCTGATCTTCAAGTCCCGCGACTGATACTGATTATGAATGCTACGTCCATCGGAGTGGCCCCTGAAGGTCATGTCTTTGCACCTTTTCTAATGCACTCTCTTATAACCCCCTTAATTGCTGTCCTCATTATACACCGCATTCTTCTGATCATCCAGCGCATCTATTTCCACCCTCTCTCTTCGTTCCCGGGCCCAAAATTGGCAGCTGCAACATCTCTTTACGAAACGTGGCATGCCCTCTTTTCACGCTCACCACTGTCATGGCCTGAACACCAGCGATTTGTTCTGCACCCCAAATATGGCCCTGTTGTGCGCATCCGGCCAAATGCCTTGCACATATCTGATCCCGACGCCTTTCGAGATGTTCACAAGGTCGGCAGTAAGTTTACAAAAGCAAAATACTTTTACGTTCCCTTCCGCCTCTCCAATGCGCTTTTTGGTTCGACGGACCCGGATTTCCACCGAAAAAGACGTTCGCTCATTGCACCCATGTTTGCCAAGGGTGAGGTGATCAAGCTCTACGAGGGCTTGATAAAAGGCAAGCGGGAGATGATGGTGGGGAACATCAGATCGTTCCTGGAAAGGGGTTCCAGTGTGGTGAACATGAAGAATGCACTGGCTGGGCTAGTCGTTGATGTCGCGGCAGAGGCCATCTGTCAGACATCCTACGGGTATGTTTGTTTGATCTGGGTTGTTCAAAAGCCTGCCTATGCTTACCGTGCATCAGCTTGTTGGAAACTGACACGCTCGAGGCACACCCCCCTTACGAGCTCAGTCGACATGCTCGCGCAGTCCTGGACAATAGTCAAGTACTTTCCTCCCGTCGTGCCGATTCTCGAGGTCGTCCCTCAATCTATCATGACAAAGTTGATCCCTGCTGCCACCGGACAAGCCATCATCAGAAACACCACAGCAGTCGAAGTGTTTCAAATTATGAACGAGCAAAAGAGGCCTGCCGAAAAGCCAAGAAGCAAAGAGTCATCAATCATCGCTAGGCTGTTGGATTCCCTGGACCCAAACACTGTCATTGCCGAGGGGTACACAATACTGGGAGCAGCATTGCACACTACACTCTGGTCGCTGACCCGGACTGCGTACTTTCTGGGTGCCTACCCTGCCGTCCAAAACAAGCTGTTTTCAGAACTGAAAGCAGCCTTCCCCGACAAAGGCTCAGACATCACCAACTCGTCTCTGGAGGCTCTGCCCTAGTTTTCTGCTTTTATGAAGGAGTCGTTGCGGCTGGCACATGCGATCCCTGGGGCCATGCCTCGTGACACGCCAGCCCAGGGAGCTGTATTATGTGGATATGACATCCCCGGCGGCACGGTTGTGGAGACAGACAATTATCACGTTCATCACAACGAAAAGATCTTTCCGGATCCGGAAAGGTTCGAACCGGAAAGATGGCTCCCCGGAGGAAGCTCAAGGGGCATGGAAAAGTATTTGGTACCCTTTGGCATGGGCAACATGATGTGTGTTGGTTACACGCTGGCCAATCTGAATCTCAACCATGCTGTCGCGGGCGTGGTGACAAACTTCAAGCTGGATCTTACAGAGCCTCTCCGGAACCAAGGGTTTCCCTTTGTGATGAATTGGGTTTCTGTGTACCGGGGGCCCTCGCTTGATTTTGTTGTGGATAAGAGGGACAGCTAGGGATGTGCAGTCAGAGGAGCTAGGATACATTGTGTCTTTGTCAACTTGGGCCTGATCTCACATTAGCATCCCCAATATGTTCATAACAGGCTCCAACACCCACAGCACCAAGCTGATGCACCCAAAGACATCCATAGGCAAGCCAGAGAGTGTAACATGGCCAAAGAACCCTCCTCTTCGCTCAACCGTGGCCCACAGCTCCTCCACCAACACGTGCTCTGCACCTTTCCACTTCCATAGGCCCGTCAACCGGAATTTGGTGTTGAAATTAGCTCCCAAAGCCCATACTAGAGGCAACTTGTACCACCCGCCATTGCGTCTGCCCTTTGACGTTTGATATGCCCATCCTCGCGATAAAACTTGGGAGAATCCTGATGCAGCTCCCATGTCAAGTGCAAGCTGATATGCATAGCTCTCGTGGTCCACTCCGTACTGGATTCGCGATCTGTTGTTCATTTTGAGTTTGTAATGTGGCTCATCCGTGATGCTCAAGGGCCTTGGTACTAATCCAGGGCGCAAAAGGTTGACAACCCAAAGTTGAGCTTGTAGTTTGGACAACGGCGGTATGGCGCCAAAGGATGGGCGGATAAACCCAATAAAAGCAACAGAAGGATCTGTCGACTTCCAGATGGATCGTGTATCAAGGCTTTCTGGCGTAGGGTGATCATCGGAGAAGAAAGGGAAAGTCTGTGTGTATCCTGTTGCAAATATCACCACATCAGGCTTGATCCTTTGGCCCTTCAGGCGGTGGAATTCGGGACGGTTGTTGCTCCGAAAATGAACGATGCCTTGTTCGTCAAAGTGGGTAGGCCAGGGTGCCAGGTCAATGTGTCGACCACCAGTCTCTGCTATTGGCACCTGAATGAGGGAAGACCTGATTCTCTGGACAATGGACGATTCCCGCTCTTGGCGATATGGGGCTGATAGATATGGCATGGCCTTGTTGGATTTGTTGAAGAAAACTAGTAGAAATGTCAGCTTCCGAGCAACGGGACGGAAGAAAAACACACAGACTTTTACTGGCGTGATACCGCTCATCCGATATCCCCCCTATCCACTGTGCCATTCCATACTTGGAGCCGCCAACCAACCAAAGGGTCGATTGGATAAAGATATCATAGTAATGCCACAGCAACATTTGGTCTCTCATACGGCGGTGGACGTAGGCCGTATCAAAAAGACTAGCACTGCCGCTGTCGACCGGCACGTTGAGTCTGTTCGGGTCAGGCTTGTTACCAAGAATGGGCAAAATGACAGGATCAGGAACTCTCTTGGGCGCGCACAAAAATCCATCGCGGTGGCTCATCAAGCCTCTTTTGATGGGGCTGTGCATGGCGAGGTATCCCAGATCCATGGCCGTTTCGCCACTACCCAAGATAAGCACCGTTTTCCCCACTCCAAACTGGCTCCTATTCTTGAACTCGGACGAGTGAAAGACTTTTGATACTCGGTCCACGCCGTTGATGGTTGGGGATATTCGGAGTAACGTGGAGTCCGGTACAAATGGCCACGGCATCGCATTCGTGTTCTGCAGTCTGTGGACCGTCTTGCTGCCGATAAGTAATGATATGGCGCCTGTTCCCATTTTTGCGGATCGAGACAACGGTAATCGAAAGTTTGATGTGCTCCCAAAGCCCAAAGTGTGTGCAGTAATCGTTGAGGTACTCGACATAACGGTCAGTCGAATGGAAGTCCGGGTCAGAGTCCTGAGGCCTAAAGTCGGAAAATGTCGTAAGCTGTTTCGAAGATACAAGCTACAGTACACTTGGTGAGCCGGTGAGTGATCAAAGCATCCCGCAAACATACCTCTCCATCCTCATATGTGCGATGAACAAACGTCCCCCCCATCAATGACTCGGACTCGAACAAGATCGGTTCGACAGGGTCAGAACCCAGAGAGTCACAAGCTGAGAGCAGATACTTTAGTGTCACTAGACCCGAAGGCCCGGCACCGATGACTGCCACCCGCATATTGTTTCAGAAAAATGGAAACCTGTGCGAGGACCGTGGCGGTGACCAGCCTGTGAGAACTGGAATCTGGAGCTTTCATATATGGCCAACCGTTACCTGAATATGTCTAGGCTGTCAGCATCCTCAGGGCCAAGCAGCCAAAAACGCTAGCCTGTGACAAATACACTTGCATGCATATATCGTCATGATTGCGACAGTGGACACTCGGTTCAATTTGCCAAAAGCTGATCCTTCTCTATCCAGCAGACATTCCCCTTTCGAAACTCCCAGCAACTCAAATCCAAACAGGGCAAAAGCACCCAACTTGTACATCGACTCAAGTTGCTTCCAGTGGTCTGTTTTCCATGGTCTGGCGGAATGCCTGCAGTGCGGCTCGGGGTTGATCCGAGGATCTAAGACGGCCAAGTGTCAGCGGCCAGAGTATGATGGACCAGAAACTAAAAACTCACACAAGATGCCCCGCACTATACACTCGAAGCCAGCTCAAGTTCTCGACCGTCTTGAACTCGCCGAAAGATGTTCCGTTGACTTGATAGGCGCTCATGCCTCTCTTGACAAAGTCAAGCTGCCCAGAATAGTCAATCGCGTTCGCAACAGCAAGATTGCCCATCCAGTTGCAAAGATAGTCTGCGCCAGGCATGCATGTCAGCTTCATTGACAGATAAGGAAACCAGGCCAGGAACAAACACACCGGCATCCCCGGCCCACAACAGCACTCTCACACCTGACTGGACAACCTCGCTCAGCTCACCGAGGAAGGATCTCGATGCTGTATCGCTGTCAGCGCGGCGTAGCCCAGTCGCCCAGAAAACAACTCACGGTCTCCGGTACTGTCAAACAGCCCCCAGGCGACGTCGGAACACTCGGTATAGTCGCGCTGAGCGCCAATGGCATCCTTCACGTCAGACCTCGCCAGATACTCATGGTACATATCTGTTCCTGGGATCCCAGTCCATGTGTCGACCCTTCTGACGTCGTACAGGTCGAATCGCTGGAGCTCCACGGTAAAGAGACCCAACGCATCGTAACAGGTGTTGTGGGCATGGTTGCAATCTTCCGCTGTCCCTGCGGTCACGGTGCAGTTTTGCAATGCCGGAACGCATCGTTGTTGGTATAGAGTGATTCCAGTTGAATACTGCGACTGATTCACAAGTTGCCTGTAGTTGTTGGTGAGTCCAAAATCGAGGTACGCAGGAAACTGGAGCTTGGGGTCGACCCAGCCATTGTTGATTCCCAAGGCGATAATGTCGATCTTGACTGCGTTGGAAACGTTTTGGTCTACGACCTTGTTTTGCTGCTGGATAAAGCGGACGATGTCCGGCCCGTAATGTCCTGAACGCTATCAGCCTACGCGAAGTATTGTGCACCGCAAGAGGATACCGACCGCCATAGCTCTCAGTGAAGAGGCCAAACTGTGACTTGGCTAGCTCAGGCTTGGCAGCAAGAAAGGCCTGCAGAAATGTCCACACATAGATTGAGCCCTGGGTGGTGGCGTTGACTTGGCCTACCCCATAGCTTTCGTCTGTTAACCGGGTTCCCTGCGCGTTGAGACAGACCAACAAACCTGAAGCCCACACCAACGGGCTGATCAAGGTAGAGCATGTTGGCGTAGCTGTTCCAGCTCTCTTCATTCAACACTGGGTCAGATCCCGCTGGCGATCCATCAGGAAAACGACAAGGCCCATGTTCGACAAAGAGACCAAGCATCGAGCTGCATCCTGGGCCACCGTTGAGCCACAGAGCCAAAGGGGCGGTTGCAGGGCTGTTGCGAGACTCAAAGAACCAAAAGAAGAGGTTGATGTCCTCGCTGATGCGAATGTATCCGCTGAGTTGATTCACATTGGGGGTTGTCTCGCAGATACCAGAGTTACTGACTATCGAAAGCTTGCTGTTGGTGTCCGCGTGGTAAAAGGTACGGTAAGGGATGCCGTTCACGACTTCCTCATTCCACTGAGAAACAGCAAAGGAGCAAGGAAGAGCCGCTGACAGAAGCAGCAAGAGACCAAACAAGCTCGCCATGTCGACAGTCTTTTGAAACGTGAACCAGGCGGTCAAGATTTCCTGCTCATGATATGGATCTGCTGTCGTCAAAAGAGCACCCTGGCCGGGGCATGAGCTCAGAAAAGACCAGATGTCCATGTTGTCCAGACTGTGACACACCGGTATGCCAAAACCAATATCATTCCCGCACTGCAACACGTCAAGTCGTCGCTCCGAGATCTCGTGCCTCTCAGGGGCTGCCAAGCGAAATGCAGGTACCCTAACCCTAGCGTGCACACTCCAAACTCCACAGTGGACACATCTCCAACGGGCAGCTCCGAAGTGCGTTAGTTGAGTCATTCCTCAAACTGAGGAGGCAAAAACACTGAACGACCTCGTCTGGACTCACTCACCCAGTGATCACCCACCCAGCACGCATTTCAACAATGGCCAACGACCACTTCCTGACGCTGTCGTGCCCTGACAAGCCGGGCATCGTTCACGCCGTGACGGGCGTGTTCGCCGGCGAAAAGGTCAACATCATCGACCTGCAGCAGTTTTCGGATCCCGTCACAGAAAAATTCTTCATGCGTGTGCACTTTGGCCCAACACCGACCGAGTCGCCCGAGTTCTTGCGCCCGCACTTTGAGAAGCTGGCCGGCGAGTATGACATGACGTACGACATCCGGCCCGTGGCACAAAAGCCAAAGGTCCTCATCATGGTGTCCAAGATCGGCCACTGCCTCAACGACCTCCTCTTCCGCGCCAAGACGGGCCAGCTTCCCATCGAAATCCCCCTCATCGTGTCCAACCACCCAGACTTTGCGCCGCTCGCCGCCAGCTACGGCATCGAATTCCGCCACCTCCCCGTCACCAAGGACACCAAGGCGGCGCAGGAGGGCCAGATCCTGGAACTCATCAAAGAGCACAATGTCGAGCTTGTGGTGCTGGCGCGCTACATGCAGGTGCTGAGCCCGACGCTGTGCGAGGCCATGAGCGGCAAGATCATCAACATCCACCACAGCTTCTTGCCCAGCTTCAAGGGCGCCAAGCCCTACCACCAGGCCTACGACCGCGGTGTCAAGATTATCGGTGCCACGGCGCACTTTGTCACGGCCGACCTTGACGAGGGGCCCATCATTGAGCAGCGCGTTGCCCGCGTGGACCACAGCCTGAGCCCCAAGGCGCTGGTGGACGAGGGATCCAACGTAGAGAGCCAAGTGCTTGCGGCCGCCGTCAAGTGGTATGCCGAGAGGAGGGTGTTTTTGAACGGCACCCGGACTGTTGTCTTTTAGAGTACGATACAATGGATGCCGTCTGCCAATAAACTTGTTCAAAAACCGAGTGCCCGATTGGATGGTCGCGCGCGTGAGACTGGCTGCCCGTGTTGTCCGACGGTGTTGTGACGCGGCTGAGCAGCGCGGTTTTCCATGGTGGAACTCCAAAGTCCCGGCGACGCGGATTAGGCGAGGTGGTGGTCAACAGAGACAATGAGAGGAGGCCGAAGAGGCCCTTGTGATGAAAGCTGAGGTGGGGTCTCTTCTTTGGAGCTTGGAGGTTGAGCTTCCAGAACGTTTCCATAAGGTATGGTGGGGCTCTTAACACAAAATTGTCTGGATGCGGGGTAAACGCACTGCGGGCAGCAACACCATCCTGATCACTGCCCAGATGCCCGAGGATCTGGCAGATATGCAACTGACATTGACATTGACAGCTCCTCATCTGCAGGTCTTGTGTATGTGTCAATCCACAACAGTTATCCTATGCTATTTTCCCCTACCATTTGACGATACCTTGGTAGTCAGTCAACACAGCATCGGTCGATTGCGGCGTGGGGTGCCATGACATCACCTCCTGGAGCGACTGGGATCCCCTGCAGCCGGGCCCGTTGAGCAATTGCCTGGCTGCCCATTGGCCCGTTCCTCCATCGTCACTGACCTTGAAGAGAGACAGCGGTGCTGAAGGTCTTCCTCTCTCATCTTAGAGCCCGCACCCTTGAGCAAGTACGACACAGCCATCATCAACAATGGTACACACGGGCGCCGTTGCTGCCAGCGCGACCACCGCGACAGCCTCGCAGTCGCACCCGCAGTCGCAGTCGAGCATCCCACGACCCTCCGTCAAACGCTATCGCCATTCTGGATCGTTTCACGCCGGTGAGCCATTTCCCGATCTCTCTCCCTATCGCGAATCTCCATCAAGCAGCCGCCGCCGACGAAGAAAGAGTTCTGTCGCCGGCCGTCCTCCTCCGGTCCAGCGACAGTCGACCGCCAAATACCACACATTTCCGACCGAACCCCCCGCGACGCCCTCCAACCAGCCTCAGCAGACGCGGCTGAGAAAGAACTCATGGCTCCGGTCACTGCTCAGACATTCGCCATCGCGAGAAGAAAATGGAGAGGACAACAGCCACTACTTTTCACAAGCCGACGAACGAGGCTTCAGCGCATCGCCATCGCGAAGGGGCGAGGGGTCAGACAACAGCCACCACCACACGAGACCTGATACGAGTCCGAATTCAACGCCGCTACCGTGGAGACAACTGGCTCTGCTCGCGCTCCTGTCACTGGCAGAGCAGACAGCCCTCAATTCCATTGGTCCTTACCTCCCAGCCATGGTGGCCTCGTTTCCCGAGATCCCCTCCGGCCAGGAAGGCATGTACGTGGGCTTGCTCGCATCGGCTTTTGCCATGGCACAGCTGGCGACCAATCTGCTGTGGGGGTGGCTTTCTGATAGGATTGGACGCAAGCCTGTCATGCTGATCGGGACATCTTTGTTGGCTGGCTGCTTCTGCTTCTTTGGCATGTGCACCACCTATGCGCACTTGATCATAGTACACGTCGCTATGGGATTGCTCAACGGGAATGCGGCAGTAGTCCCTACGTGTCTGGGCGAAGTCACTGACAGGACGAACCAGAGCAGAGCATTTACGTGGCTTCCCGTCATCTATTCGCTTGGAAGCATTACAGGGCCTGCCCTGGGTGGTCTGTTGGTGGAGACGGATGCTGGGATTGACGGGGCAAAATACCCCTACTTGACCCCAAATCTTGTGGTGGCGGCTTTTTTGGTCGTCAGTGTCATTGTGCTAGGAATATGGTTCAAGGAAACCTTGGAAGGAGAACATGATGGGACATCTGCACGAGGCCCGCGTGGTTGGATGGGGTGGCTGAAAAGCATTGTCCAGCGGCCGTGGAGAAAACAACAAGCTGGAAAACACAGGTCGGAATCCGTCAGTTCTGACCACCAGCAAGATAGCCAAGAACAGCAGGCACTTCTCAGTTCGGCGAATACCAAGGCAGCTGATGAAGATGACGAGGATGCGAACAGCCTTACTCCGTCGCAAAAGAAGTCTGCCTTCCGACAATTGGCCAACCGAAATACCATGGCCGTCTTGGGAACCTATCTTGTCTTTCAACTTGCCAACATCTCTTTCAACTCTCTGTACCCAATCTTTGTCTCTGCTCCTCCCCCCACCGGACGCGAGCTTGGACCGGGCATCATCGGCCTGTCCCTGTCCCTTGCAGGCCTGGCCACCATTGTCTTCCAGGCTCTTGTGTTTGAAAGGCTCAAGGCGAGGATGGGGAACCTGGGAACATACCGGTTTTCTCTACTTGGAATGGCGGTTGCTATGAGTCTTATGCCCTGGATTGGGTACTTGGATTCAACGCCTCACCTGGGCATCGGCAGCGGCAAGGGCTGGCTTTATAGCGAGCTGGGAGTCATTCTAATCATCAAGAATATCTGCGCTGTCGGGGGGTTGAGTAGTGTCATGCTTCTGGTGAGTTCATCATGTTACCCCCACCTCTGATATGTGCTGACCCAGATCACGTGTCCAGATCACAAACTCGGCTCCGTCCCATGAGACGTTGGGAACTTTGAACGGGATTGCTCAAACGCTGTCAGCCGCCGGGAGGAGTGTGGGGCCATTCTTGTCTGGGGGCCTGTTTACTTTGAGCATGCGTTTCAGGCCCAAGGGAGAGGCGCTCGCATGGGGTCTTTTCGCCGGTGTTACTCTTGGCGGGTGGATCTGGAGCTGGGTGATCAAAGGCTATGGGTTAGAGAGTGCCGAGTACGAAGGTGAGGAAGAGCAAGGTGGTGAGGGTGCAGATGGACAGGACGATGAGGATATTGACGAGGAAAGGGCTGTTGGCAGGTGACACAAAGGATGACTACAAGGTGAGACTCTGTCTACCTGGTGCGAAACAAGGCGATGGGGGTGGGGAGCTGTTGTCTGTCATGTTGGGGGCCATTACAGAGAGGCTCTGTGTCGGGATAGAAGGCACCTGTTACAATGATGACTTTAGGTTACTCTGTTTTCAACATCAAAGAGAAGGATATCACAAGTCGACGTTGAAACTGGGTCGTCTTCGCTTACATGTACCCCCCAACAAGTGAAGAGCTTACAAACTGCTTTGGAAAGGATTCCAAAACGCAAATAGAAGACAGAAGTGTGTCTATCATCAGTTCCGCCTTGGCAGTCACCTTCCCAACCCGGTATGGACGTTAAAAACTTCGCTCTTGACGATACCCCTATGGGGACTGGTCGTGACTTGGGCCGACGCATGTTGCTGAGTGTAGATTTGCCTCACCGCAGTTGTTGGGCTACGCGCTCAACATTGTCAAGGCATTCATGACTCTACAGAGCATTCTTTGGTCGAAACACATTTACCGTCTGCTCTGTATACCGGCTATGGTTGGCAAAAGTATCTCCACGTAAGGAGACCAATGAAGGTGACTGCTTGGGAGTTGGAATGCGCCGCTACTGCACGTTGGAGGGTCTACAGCCATTCAGCCAGACAGGGGTCTTCCCCACGCAAGAAGTGATGCCACAAGCGTCTTTACCCGCCCTCATCAGTCACCTCGTGTCCTCTATCTCATCACCATTAATGCACAGGTATGGATGGCCAGCAACTTGACAGATGTCTTGCTGCGTCTCCGGATGGGCGCGCTGATTCCACAACCCGATTTGGGCTTCCTCAGGCATCCAGATTACGAGATGACCATCATCTCTTGTCATCCCTGCTCCCATTCGTCTCAGCCCTACCGCGGGGGCCGGGGACCGATCGCCTGAAACAGATCGCCGTTGGTTCCTGGCAGGCACACTTGGAGCGAGACCAGCTGAGTTCCACGTGGAAGCCCGGACTGCACTCACAACAGCCACCAATCAGCAACTCGGCAAGCAGTCGGTGACATCGGAGCGGTCTTGTCCAGACTCATACTCTAGAGTGGCATCGTCATTCATCATCCCTACATGCAAAACACCAAGACAGGCATCCCTCTTAGCTCAGCGATGCCACCTCCATTGGTTCAAATGCACCGCACCCTCCTGTCCATTCTCCCGGAACATAAACGCGGCTCCTCACTCATGGCTTGACTGCTTACAACTCGCGCCCGACTCTGACTACGAGGCTCGTTCTTGTTTGGATCCCACCTCCAACATACAGGAAATATCCGTGGTGCATCGCGGATTGTTTCGCTGTGCCACTATAATGCGCTAAAATCTGACTGCAATCATGAGGGTGGAATCAAGGCCTCAGAGACCCATGTATTTTCTCAGGCAACAACTCAAGATGTCAGGAAAGAGAGTACACGGTCAATACTCGAAATGAGCTCAGGACAAATCTATGCCTGGCCCACTCATCCATTCCACCCTTCATCTCATGACGACATGATGCCTCATGGTGCGTCTTGATTATTCAAACCCACAAATTCGGCATTATACGGTGCCTTGCCAGTCAACCACTGCAAGCCATGGCATGCCTGATCCTGAGCCTTGATTCTGTGCACCTAAGATAGCAACAGGCTTGACCAGTGGTGATATTGTTCCCAGAAAGTTCATCACCCAACGCTCCGTGAGTGAGGGGTTGTAACCAACAGTTCACTGGCTTTGCAGACAGAGGGCTCGGGCATGTTCCTCTCCAAGAGCGAACAAAACCAAGAGATCCAGCACATGAGAACTATCTCTTGTGCCCAGAAGATGCACTCGGTAGGTACTGACCCACCATCGTCATGGTTGGAAATGGTTACCTATTCCCACACTAATACAACCCTTGCTTCTCGTCTGGCAGATAACTCCCCGAGCCGCACTATCCGTTGGTCCATGGTCACTCCGGCACATAGCGTACCATGGCCACCGAACCCATTCTTGCCTTTTGTTTGGGGCGTCTTTTCAAGCTTCGCCCGTCTGACTCTGCCCACCACCCGGTCATCTTTATACTGATCTGGTGAGTCCACCCGGTAAGAGCCCAACATTATCTGTCGTCCTGTCTGCAAACATGATTGGATGGCATGTCTTGTCTCTTCCTCGAGTACACTAGATTGGGTGCCATTCAGGTTAGCCTAGGGCTGTCCCTGACCCGGTAGACTGGGAGAGTGTGGAGGGGTGAAAAGTACCGTCAGTATGGTGCCGTTACCTATCCACTTTTTGGACCAGGCAGTCACTTTCTCAAGTTTGAATCCAAGACCTACGCATCTTCAAGATTCCAGACCATCAGACTTATATCTACATCAAGCTCGCCCAGCTCCATCATCAGTCGCTGTACATCTCACTACCATCAGTTCAGTCACTTACACACACACTGACTTAAACTGCTCTCGTTCACACCAGAACCCACCATGTCATCTTCGCGCTCACGTCGAACTGGACACAAGTCTGGAAGCTCGAGTGGATCCGGCTCAGTATGATTGACATACCTTCTCGCTCGTGCTCAAATAAACTAACAGCCCTGCAGCAGTCAGCGCGCCAGATCATCGAGTCTCTCCTTACCCACCGCATCAACACCTTGACTGAGCTCTGTCGTGTGGAACGCTTGGTAGCGAATGCCGAGACAGAGGAGGATCAACTAGCTTTCCAGGAACCCATGACCTCGGCTTGGATCTACTACGTCGAATCAAATCAGATGCTTTCCGAGCTCCGGGGGCTCACCCCCAACTACGCCTTTTCCGGGGAAATGTTGACGTACGCCCAGGGCCTGGTCCGAAACGACCCGCAATCCAACAGGAGCTGGAACTTCGCCTGGATGGTACTAGAAAAGATCACAGAGGAGTACGTTCCTTGTCAGATTATTTGGTGATCAAGGACTAACAAAGAATGGCAGGAATCTGGTGGCCACCTATGCTGAAATCGAAGCAGCCAGGCCTGAAATGTGGGGCGGTGTCGTGCCAGACGATCAACAGATACAGGAGCTGGCAGCCTACTTTTCTCAAGAGTGGACTTATGCCATCAACTGGATGTTGCAGCACTGGACCGCTGCCCCAGTGTGGTACTGAGTACACCTCGGCTGTTCGCAACGTACAACCGAACTCCTACGGTCACACAGGCCTGACGGAAACTTTCATTCTCCCCTCCGTTCGTTTCGCTTGTTGTAGTTTTTTCACATGTATGACTTATCTGTACACCATCATAGAGAAGGAACTTTGCACCGGTCCGTTGTCTGAAGGGGTGCTTGTGGTCTGGTTTATCTCCCTGCTATAGATTCTCTCAAACACATTGAACGACAAGTTCACACAACTTTCTAACTTGAAACTTCCCAGAGGTGACTTTCTGCTGAGGTTGGTGATTGAGAACCACATTGAAAGGAGGGAGCCGAGGCTTTGGGCCCAAGCTAGGCACCTAGGTAGGTATTCTTGCCCGTTCCAACGCTGGTAAAAATAGCAGAGCTCCTTTGTCCGATTCCCCAATATTCAGTAGCTTATTCGGGCCGACCGGGTCGGAACGGATGGTATGAGAACATTGTTCCGCATCCGGCCTCGAGAATCTGGATTGCGGGCTGTGTTTGAACCGCAATTTCGTTGTTCGAGAAGATGTGACATCATCAGTACAAAGTATAAGTTTTGGGTAGACATGTCTGTGCCCTACGCTCAAGCTAACTATTCAGTCTTGTCCTGATCAGATTGAGAGCATTTTAGCGAAATCTAACAATAGAAAACCCAGTTTCACGCCCAAAGGAAAAGCGATTGCTATAAATGACAGGCATCCGGCCAAGCCAAGATGAATAAAACACGCCAAAAATTGGCAATCTGGGTTATTTTCTAAAGAGTCTCTCCTGAACAGTTTCCGTCTATTCCAGCTATCATGCTTTCCCAACTAGTCCTCCTTTTCGTAGCCATAGCCCTGGCAACAGGGAAAGTTGTTCGCCGCGATACCGCCGACGGGTTTCCTAACCCGAATGCAACTCAGCTTGAATTCATCGAAGACGTAGCAGATGGCACACTGTCAGATGCACCGCCCCCGCCCTCCCTGAACGAAAGCAGCATTCCTATTTTCCAGCTGATTAGCTTCAATGAGAATTTTGAAGTCGCCTTCTTTTCGTCCCTCATTGAGAACATCACCACGGACGAGCCCGGCTTCACACTTTCAACAGAGAAGAAAGTGGAGATACTCGAAATCCTGGCGACCGTCTTGGCTGTAAGTGTTCATTTCCCTACCACAGACCTACACAGATGCTAACTATCTTACCTATGCAATAGCAAGAACAACTGCACGCCATAGATGCCTCCAACGTTCTCAAGCACTTCAACGCCTCTCTGATCCCCGAGCCCTGCGAGTACGTCTTCCCCGGTGCCACCGACATCAACTCGTCCATCGCTCTCGCCGCCACCTTCACCGATGTCGTTCTCGGAACACTTCAGGATGCGGCCGAGGGGCTAGCCGTCAACGGGGACTTGGGTCCTATTCGTGAAGTCGCCTCCATCATCGGCCAAGAAGGGCAGCAGTCTGGCTTCTACCGTCTGCTTCTTAATCAAAAGCCATCGCAGAAACCCTTCTTGACCACCAACGTCGGCGCCTTTGCCTGGAGCGCGCTTCAACAATTCGTCGTCTCTTGCCCCTTCAACATCAGCGAGATTGAAATCCCAATCTTCCCGCCTCTTGAGGTCGCCCATGTGACAGGAGGCCAAACCATTGAGTCCCGTGATCAGCGCTTGTCTTTTGTTGCCAATTTGACCGGCTCCTCCGAGGCAGAGCAGTTCATCAATGAGACTGGTCCGGATCTGTTTGTTACCTACTTTAGCGGACAGCTGTTGCCCATCAGTGTGCCTGTTGAAGATGTCGAGTGGTTTGGCGAGAACAACACACAGCTGAGGTTTGAGGCTGAGTTTCCTTTTGAGGAGAATATACTTGTCGGGTTGACGATTGCTGCTCTTACTTCAAAAGACAACTTTACGACATATGGCGAGGTGGTGGAGGCTACGATTGCGGCACCTGGGCTGATCGAGGTTACTGACGAGGGGTTGAGTTGGGATCTTTTGAGCAAAGAGGATTTGTAGTGGGTGCTTTATGCGGCATGATTGGAGTTTAGGAGTAGTATATTGGGTTACATATACGATTGTTTGATTGTCTCAGTTTGTATCCAAAGGAAAAGTGCTGTCTATATATCCAAGAGCCGTCTCAAGCTTTCTGCTGCCTGTGTAATAACTCTTGACCAAGCAGGTCAAAGAAAGTGTGCCATCTTGACTGTCCTTCTGACTTCCTTCTTCGGTGATGGTGCTGATGGTTATCGGGCCACCGGTCATCGTCTTGCCTGCGGACTGGTGACGTTGTCCGAGCCCTGCCTCTGTGGTGGTATCGTTCGTCTGGCGGTGGCGCCAGACGCGAGCTCGCGTAGCTGTAGTCTTCGGGGCTCTCTGCACGCTGCTCTTGATGTTCCTCCTGAAATGGTGGCGAGGGAACTAGAGCCCATCGCACCTTGTGATCTTCTGGCTTTTGTGCTTCCAAGTCAGGGTAGGGCAGCTCCCGGTCTCGGCTTCTGCTTCTTCTCCTCGTTCTCTCGAATGACCTCGGACGTGAGCTAGATTGTGAGGTGCTCCTACTGTGGCACTCGTGCTTCTCGCCTTTTGTTGTGCTAGGCGTTGACCTGGACTCACTCTCAGGACGCTGACGTGTCCTCTCCCGTCCGACTCTTTCATTATGCTCTCTGTTCATCATGGTAAACGCGGTAGCGGCGGCGGCGGCACTCAGGCTGGCCTTTGCTAAATGCATGGCCTTGTGCTTTTTGCTGTCTTTGAGCTTGAGGACTTGGTCGGCTGTGAGCGCTGTGGCTGTGAGGCCAACGACGAGGTCAATGTCTTCGCCCAAGTTGATATTCTTGGTGAGATCAGGAAATATCCCCGATTTCTTCTTCTTCGGATATGAAATTGGGGAGTGCGGACGTGGAAGTAGCGGTTGGTAAGGGGCAACGTCGGTGATGTTGTGGTTCATGGTTAATGGTAATGCAGATGATGTTGATGGGGAAAGTTGATGCAGTTGTATTTGGACGGTAGAAAAAATTGTCAAGATATTTTTGCGCTGGCTCTGGCGGCGTGTTGTTCTTATAGGCTTGTTTTACACGGGCGGTGCCGGCATTGTATTGGAAAGTGTCAGCAGATGAATAGGGGCTGAGGTGTTGGCTGGCCAATGGCGCACCAGATCCAGCCGAGCATGATGCACCCGCTGCAACCATCTGCCGATGCACCCCATGACTGCTGGATGGGCTGATATCTAAGTATACATATAGATGCCATTTGTATCCTGTTCGGTTTGATTGCTGGGCAGTTATTGCTTGTAGACCATGTGTGATGTTCGTTATTGTCACGTTGCTATTCCTACACAAGGCCTATTTCAGGTGGTGACCGTCACAAATCAGATGGTTTCGTGGTGTAGTTGGTTATCACGTCAGTCTAACACACTGAAGGTCTCCAGTTCGAGCCTGGACGAAATCATGTTCCATCATTTTTGCCTCCCCACCCATCCACACTCGGCCCACCGTCCATGGAGTACCCCCCTTTTTTCATTATTGCTTACCCCAACTGACATCATCGGCACACTTCATATAGGTGCGGTCGCTTTTTGACAATCGGTGGAGCATAACACATGTTGGAACAAAATAGGGACTCAATCTGAACATAAACTTGATATTTGCTGTAATCTTCCAGCCATTAAACCTTCAAGTCTTCTCTCTCCGCACGAACGACAGACCCAATCGCTGTCTACAACGCGTAATTCTACAGTAAACAAGGGAACTGCAGCTTAGTTGGGATCGCAGTAGCCAAACTCGGGCTGGCACCCGACAATATACGGGCAGTACTGATCGCCATCGCCGCACCAGCCAAACTGCGAGCAGCATCTTCCGAAGGTGGAACCCAAGCAGTTCTGACCGCTGCCACAGCGTCCGTCGGTAGAAGATCTCTGACCGGGTGGGAGGACCAGGGTAGGAGTGGGCGCGACAGAAGTGGTGGAGGTGGTCCTGGTGGAAGTCGAGCTCGTGGTGGTGGTGCTGCTGGTGGTGGTGGAGGAGGTTGTGGTGGGAGGCACAACAACCGGGGTGGATATGGTCGTGGGCGGGACAACGGGCGAGGTGCTTGTGGTCGTGCCGTTGATGGGAGTTCCGGGCAGACCAGGGATGCCGAGACAAGCACCAAAGTTGGACTGACAGCCGGCACCGCAGAAGTCAATTGAGGAACCGCACCAGAAATACTGCGAGCAGCAAGGGCCGTAGTTGGGGTTTCCAATGCACATGGTGCCGTTTCCGCACTGGCCATTGGTGGTCACAACCAGGGGACCAGTAGGCTGGGGAACAGAGGGAGTCGATGAGGTGCTGCTCGGGGGGATTACAACCACACTGCTTGTAGTGGTAGGAGGAGGCGGGGGAGCAGCGGTGGAAGTGGTGGAAGTGGTGGAAGTGGTGGTGGGAGGGGGTGGGGGGGTTGACGTGGTCGTTGGGGGGGGAGGAGGAGTCGATGTGGTGCAGGCACCGGGGGAGGCCATCCGCAGACACCATACTGGGCTTGACAGTCAAACAGAGGATGGCAGTGGTCAACGGTCAAACCGCAGAAGCCATAGTCGGAGCAGCACTGCCCATCGGGGCAGCGTCCAACTCCCGCTCCGCATCTGCCACCTTCCTGACGAAGACCAAGCTGGGCGTAGTCAGTGGTGCCGTTTCGGTGGCGGCTCTGGAGCACACGAGGGCGACGAGCGAGGAGGGCTTCGTTGGGAATGGCGTTGTTGCTCTCGCTGGCCAGCACGCCTGTCCACGACAAGGCAGCTGCTGCCAGTCCAATGCACATGGACTTCATCTTTGCTGTCGTTTCACGCTCACTGTCGTCGGTCTAGATGGGCGGTACGAGGAGCAGGATCAAGTTGGCAACTCCCGACCAAGGGATGGGGGAGCTCATGTAAATAATCAATTTCCACTCGGCTTCATCTCTCATCCACGACCCCCTCATGCCCCACTTCTTGACCCTTCACCCCACAGGCCCTGGTTAGGGACCTCACGGTCTTTGTTTTTTGGAGAAGGCATCTCGGCTGCCGGCTGTTAGATCAGGAACCCGCTCAGAAGCTGTTCTTTTCTTAATTTACACGTCTTGGGCGTCACAGTGAGGCACTATCCGGAGCATTTGCAGTGTTATAAGCAAGTGAGATTCCAGATAGAGGCTAAATGACAGGCTGCCGATTTTACCGAGGACGCTGTGCTGGGCTCATGCAGGAACGGCGGGCGTCGTGCCGTCATTTCGTGGGCCAGAGTCTGTATAAAAGGTTGAATCCGCCTTGGCGGTAACCCGAAGAAGCTCCGCTACATTTACACTTCATATAGCCAGCGGTACAGCATTTTCTCTCGGCACTGTCGAGGTGTGCAGCTGGTGATAGCACAAGACAGTCTCGCTTGGATGCAGCCCGAATAGGGATTGACAATGTGGGGGGGGAATTCTTCTAGAATCCCTTGGGGTGTCATTGGAACGTCGTACTCAAGGTGTGATGAATGAGGGTTGCCTCATAGCCTGAGAAGGAAAATCACCTTGTTGTCACCTCCCACCACATTCACCGAATCACCGAGAGCGAGCTCGTTGCCCAACCCGACCACAGGTACATACCCGCCTCTCACTCATTTCCTGGATACCTTGAGGACAAAAACGTGGGGGGGGGGATGTCTGATTTACCCACAACTTCCTCATCTGATAAGAGTTTGAGGGGGTATTGGCATCCAAGACCACGCAAATGGGGTGACATACCCCGAGAGAGCTGGCGCAATCAAAACTCGTGTCATTTGCATCTGTTCTACTGCACAGCTCCTTGCCTGCAGCAGTTTATCCGTCTCTGCTGGTCTTCCGTCTCTTTCCCATCTCGTCCACCTAGTTCTTGGCTGTCTTGTCCATGCACTCTCTTGCGGCTCGGTATTCGTCGTGTTTGAACAAGACGTCCCTGAACGCACTGCTATAAGGCATTGCACCAGCAGGCGGCAGAGGACCAGAGTAGTACTTTCGAATCTCGTCCTCCACACCCGGAACGTGGAGCCATTCCGGGCCAGCGTTGGAAGAAAGCATGGCGAGGTTACATCGGGGCACTCGGAGCTTGTCAAACATCTCCAACCGGCTTTCCATTGTCCATGTGCTCCCGGAAAGGTCAAAAAGTGTTTCCAACGTGGCCGCTGTCTCGATAGCCACACTTGCTCCGGCCGCATGAATGGGCATCATGACATGTGCTGCATCTCCCATCACCAACGTCTTTCCACGAACAAAGCTTTGGAGTGGAAGCCGTTTGTAGAGGTGGTGGGCTTTGATGCCATCCTCGGCCGTCATGGAGACCATGTTTAGAACTGACGGGTGAAAGTTGCAAAGAACCTTGAGGATTTGTTCTCGTGATACGGGAGACTGCCAAAGATCCTCTTCTCCTTCACCGGTTTGCGTGTCATGAACCACGGCATTGTTCAGCACCTTGCCGCCCCTACACTTGTAGCTGACCCAAAGTATCCTGGTTTCTTGATCAACCCAAGCCACGAAGCCGCTTTTCCGACTTCCCTGCGGGTCTGTGTAGAGGTTTTGGAGTACAGGATCTGCATTGACCTCGTCCATGGATACCAGCCATCTGTAAATAGACCGGCCTGTACGGTGAACCGTGGACGGATTCCCGGTAAAATCCTCAATTAAGCGGCTCTATGCTGATCAGTTTCCCTTCCTGGGCGTGGTGAAAGAGTCCAGACTTACATGAGCCCCATCTGCTATTATTACCAAGTCATACTGCTCCAGTCTCCCGTCTTTGAGTTTGACTGTGCCGGCCTCGCAATCGATTCCCGTAACTTCTTGGCCCAATCGGATATCTGCTGGTGGCCCTGGTGTGTTGTCTTGCGTCTGGGTCGCTAGCCCTCTGAGCCCGCTGTGCAAGTCCACCCTGTGAACTGACCAAAAGCGACTCCATTCTGCGCCTGAGTCCGGGCCATAGTATTCCTTTTGAAGCAGGGACAAGTTCTTCGCCTCGTAGCGCAGGAGCATCTCATTGCGAACGCCGCCGAGTTCTAAAAAGTCGAATCCAAACCGTTCCAGAACCAAGGTCGCGTTGGGAGTTATCGTGATGGCCGCACCAATTTCGTTTTTGAAGCTGCTCTTCTCGTACACGGCGACATGCCATCCTGCACGACGGAGGGCGATGGCGGCGCACAAGCCTGCTATTCCAGCGCCGACGACCGCCGCCCGATGTGGTTGCCCATCGGTGGGGCAAGAGACAGAAAGCTGACCCATCTATGACTGTGACCGATATCAATGTGATTCTGTCGAAAAGAAGAAATGGCAGAGCAGTTCCTTCGAAGAACCGGAGATAATGCTGTGCTTGATTCATCCACAATGCCCGGTTCAACGCCGTCCCCACAATGTCCGTCCGACGCTGACGTCGGCCGCCTTGATTGGATCGTGAACAATGCACGGTGCCTGCCCGTTGGAGGTCGTCAACAGCATCACTTGTCATTGTCGGCGATAAGATGTGGGAGGACCGGTTGCTCCCAGTGGGTCAGGTTGTGAGGGCATATTGTTTTTTCTGTTTGTTTTCATTTTGGTAAATAGTTTGCTCTCTCGATACATCATGCTCACCATATTTCTTCTCCCTTGAGCTCCCACAGACCACCCGTGTGGAATACACTTGTTGCAGATCATCTAGGTAAATCTCACCGTGCTTGGCCAGATCAAAGTGCGGGGGGTGGCACAAACAAGCTCATCCAAACACTCTTCTTCTGCAGTTCAGCTGGACTTATTTCAGGGGCGGGCCAACGACTGCGCCCAACGCCGCACGCCTAATGTAACCCTCCATCTCTATACTCGCAACGCTTACCTTGGCACGGCTCAACCTTTGTCCCACCTCACCAAGAAAGATGTAGACCACAGCCTGTCTGACAAGGCTCACGTTCCCGATTATCTATCTGCCGCATGATTTCAGGGGCAGAGCCTTGTTCTGCGCCGCATGTACTTGGAGATAGAGAGACTGCTTGTTGCATAACCTAGTCGACCCTGATGATTGCCAAGCTGAGAGACCGAAGCTTAATGAAGTTGCCCAGAGTCGGGTCAGCAACTCCAAGATTATCCTGGTGCGAAGGTGAGACTTGGGATTTTTTGGGTGGTGGTGGGGATGAGAGCAGCAGCAAAGACCAAATAGGTTCATGAAAGAGCCAGAAAACTGTATAAAGGGGGCCACTTCATCCGTGTCTATTCTCCATAATCACCCTCATCATCAACAGCTTTCAAAGCACCATCTAGCTTGCTCATCCGTTGAAAACCCTTCAGCAACAGTCAGCTACCTTACTCTCAGACTTCCAACCATCAACATGAAGTTCCAACTCCTCACCACTGCTGCCGCTTTCTTTGTGGCCACTGTCACCGCCATCCCCGCCCCCTATGACAATCATGGCCTTCTCCCTGACACCGACGACTTTGAGAACGACGCGGGTGTCCCTGCCGTTCTGGAAGCTCGCGCACAGGCCCCTGCCACCTGGGCGACCAACTTCAACTTCACTCGCGACTTCGACTTCCCCCTCGACCACCTCTTTGCCGAGATTGAGCGCATTCCCGACGACATCCTCGAGAAGGGAGATGAAGTGCTCCACCAGTGGCTCATTGCCAACGGAGACCGTGAGCCCGAAACGGCTCTCAAGCGGGACACCGATTATGTTGATGCCGTTGAGCAGAACTTGAGCCTCTTCGAGAGGGGTGAGCTCGCCGCCAGGGCCTCGCTGTGGAAGATTGCCAAATGTGTTGCCGCCATTGTTCAGCTCCTTGCCACCACTGCTGTGCCTGCTGCCAAGCTGCTCAGGATCAAGAAGTACATCAAGGCGCTTGGGGGTGCGAAGCAGGCTGTTAAGCTCATGTTGGGAGCCACCACCAAGGCCGAGAAGTTGAAGGCTGGTGGCGAAATCTTGGTCAACTTGAGTGCCGAGCTTTTGGGTATCAGTACTGTCAAGAACAACTGCTTCTGAGAGGTTATGAGAGAAATTTTCTAGGCAAACGATGGGGTTCGTGGGGAAGTTAAGGGGTAAAAAGATTGTTGGCTGGGTATCTTTGGAGCTTCTTGTCACTCTTTTAGTTAGGTATTTCGTTTGACTTTTTCTGGGACTGTAGGGCAGGTTACATTCCCGAGTTTAGGATTCCCGCAATTCATATGCTTCGATACGTCCCAAGGTATCTCAGTAAACAAATGCATTTTGTGAAACTAATATCGAAGTTTCCCACCACAGCCAACGAATAAAAGCAGTGTACAAGGTAGAAAAGAGACGTATTCCATCATTGCCAATGTCTCCTTTCACCTCCTTTACCCCTAATCAATTGGAAAAGGGTTTGGGTAAGACCAAAGATCACCTGCTGACAGTTTTCGTAATGACGCCATAGTCTGGTGCGACCATTACAAATTGAAAAGACCAAAAATCACAGCAAGATTTCTAATCATCACCGGCAAACCCTCCGCCGAACTCCGGGGATACCTCCTTTGATCTGATCAAGCACGCCAGACTGGGAGTTGTCGACGATAAAACGTTAAGAGATGACCCAGTCCTTGCCACGAATCTCTACGAGGCCATCCCGTTCATTTTGCCAAACTTTCCCCCAAAAAACATGACTGAAGCTACAACACATCCCACCGCCCTCTTTCTCTCTTCTGATGGCGAGATAACCCCCATCGCCGCTCCCTTCCCCGTCGCAGCCTCTCTCCCTTTAGCCCCCCAGACTCATGTCCCTATCAAAGTCACTCACTCCGCTATCCAACCTGCGGACAAAAAGCACTTCAATCTCGGCTTTCACTCTTCCATCACCGGCTTTGACTATGCTGGCATTGATCTTACAACCAACACTCCTGTCTTGGGGTTGACCTGGCCAGGCCCACACCGCCCGCTTCATGCTGGGGCTCATCAACCCTACATTCTTGCCCGGTCGGATCTAATTTGGACGCGGCCTGAAGGCCTCAGTGCGGAAGCGGCAGCAGGCCTCCCTACTGCTCTGTTGACTGCTGCTGATGCATTTGTCAATATTTTCGGGGTTGGTTTCGCAAGTGCTGGGATTGAACAACTGCCCTCAGGGACCCATTCTCAAGGAAAAGGAGCCCTCATCTGGGGCGGTGCTAGCGCGGTTGGGTGGGCAGCCATTCAAGTGGCCAGAGAGATAGGCGTCGAGTTCATCTTTGTTGTGGCCTCGACCAAGAATCATGACCTGCTTAGGGGCATCGGGGCAACGCATGTATTTGACTATACGCACCCAGAGGAAACCACCAAGGAGATCAAACGGACGCTCCAGAGCCTCGATGTAACGCTGACAGCGGTGTTTGATGCCGTTGGTGCTGGGTTGGAAGATGCGGGGTCAACGTACGAGAATAGCAGTTGCTACTGGGGAAAGCAATGTCTCTCTGGTGATCAAGAGCGAGATGCTTTGGCGTGCGCTCGCCCAGTCCCCAGAGAGTGGGATTCGGATTGGGAGTTTGCCATCTTTTCGCGCAAATGGGGTGCCTTGCCAAAACAATCTCCAGAGTGGACATGGAGCCGGCAGGACAAAGTTATGAGATGGTTTCTGGAGAATCACGCCGCAGCCTGGAAGCCGATGCCGACAAGAGTGGTGCGGTCAAAGGAGGACGCTGTCGTCGCAATCAACTCGTCAGCGGAGGGCAGGATCAGCTGCGAAAAGGTGGTGATACGTCATCCTATTCTCTAAGACAGCGAATACAAGCTTCCTATTCTGGCATGATCGTAATCCCTAGGTCCGAGGTAGCCCCCCGGCTCGCATTTAGAGACCCGGCCGGGTCACCTTGTCGAGTTCGGAAGCTCGGTGACTCCACAGTGACGCTGACTCGGGCCGGTTGTCGTCGGCAAGTGACAGATCCAAATTTTGCTCACAAAACCTGGACGATGCCAGTTGTAGTACATGAGTCATTGTCCTCTTTCACCTCTCCATCTCTTAGGACTTCATATCCACTTCAGTCATAACAAACAATATGCTGACCCTCCGTGAAGCCACCGTCGCCGATTCCCCGCGCATCGGCGTCATCGGCCGCGACTCGTTCGGGCCCACCCTCTCCCGGATTTTATTCCCGGCGCACTTGCACCACCTCGCCCACACCGATGCTGCAACGGAGGAGGCCGAGTGGAGGGCTGCCCGCAACACCAGGCGGATCAAGGACGGCAAGAAGACCTATGTTGTTGTCGACAAGCTGGAAGATGGCAGTGAGCAGATTGTGGGATACGCCCAGTGGGAGACCCCAGACTCCCTCCCACCGGCAGCCAAACCCCAGACTGCAAGCGAAACAGAGGTTGACGTGCTGCCGCCTTCGCTGGACCAGGATGCTCTGAAAGAAATCTTCGGGCTCATGGAGGTGGTGACTGAACAAACACTGGGGAAAGAAGGGCACAGCCAGATGTGGTGTAAGTTTACCTATCTTTGAATCTCCTCACTTACAACACAACTGACATTGACACAGACTTGATGATTCTTGGCGTGGATCCCACTCAAAAGCGCAGAGGAATTGGCAAGATGCTGGTGAAGCATGGCCTGGAGCAGGCCGCCAGGGAGAAGCGAGACGCCTTCCTGATTGCTACCCCTGAGGGCAAGTATCTCTACTCACTGCTCGGGTTTGAGCAAGTCGGGGAAGAGATCGCCCTGGGTGACGTGCCGCATTACGCGATGCTCTGGAAGAGGCCGCGCGAGGAGGGTGAGGAGGTGTTGAACTGAGTTTCACAGCCCGCAGATGTAGCATTGTTGCGTGAGCGGACGGCACGAAAGGACCTCGGCGATGATGTTGTAAATATCGGCGACCTCCTTGCGGTTTCAAACGCATTGACTGGATCGCATACGCACGTGCAGGAGACAGTGCTGATGTAAGATCTGCTTCGTTAGAAGCACTGCTGGCAAAATGATGCATGAATTTGCGCTCCTTCGCCTCTTCGCTTCTTCCGTCATGCCGGCCTCTGATTTGGTCTACATCTGCAAGATAAGCTTGGGGTTGGAAACCATGCCTCAAAGAAACATGGAGGAGGCGGGAGGGCTCCCGTGATCTCTTCATTGGACGCCTTTCCTGCACAAAACGTGGCCCAACGCCGTAGGGCTGCAGGCGGTCATGCCATTAGCGCCAAACCACCCCGACTTTTACTGGAATTCCCGGACGGCGGCTCGGCTTCCATCTGGTCTCGTCGACCCCTTGTAAAGCTGATGCTGGAACGGCACAGTGTTGCTTGGCTAATCGAAGAGTTCTGACTGGGTGAGAAACCGGCAAACATGCAGTGATGGATCGTTACATGTGGCATCAATGAGATTGGCGATGTAGCTTGGTAAGGTAGTCAAGTCAGAAGAACCTAGGTATTGTGGGCCGAAATATGGAGTTGGTCGTCACCTCAGGGGGTTGGGGGGTAGAGCGGGTTGACCCCGCCTCAGGTGATCGTGATTGTCCTGAGACCTGTTTCTGCTAAAGTCCTTGTGGAAAAGTTCTTTTTGTGAGTATCTACCAGTTGATGTTGTAGGCCAGCTATATGGGTAGGTAAATATTCACAACTATCATCAAGTCATCTATATACTTTAGAATGGATTTGCACGTGACCAGACACCTCAACTCCATTGCCCATTAAGCCAACCTTGATCCAAACTCCTGGTGGTATCTCCATGCATCCCCTATCAAATCATGTTCCAACGCCGGATGTGAACTCACGTACTTGGGTAGGTGCCTAATCAACCCATAAAGTAACCCCCTTCGGAATGGTGATATGCGCCCGTTCCTTGATCCTGCCCCCAAAGTTGTGGATTTACCACTCCTTCGGCTCCGGGAACCATCAACATCTGGCCTTGTGGCGTCGCTGTATGGTGATCCCACCCTGTTTGGGTTGTCTGTGAGTCCCATTGACTCTGTGGATGGAGTTGGTTGCTAGTCATCATGGGGAGTGATGCCACTTGATATTGGTCGACATCGACTGCCTCCAGCTTGGGGTCTGGTGCTGCCGATCCAACCCTGGATGGCGGCGTAAAGACGTTGCTGCCATGGCAATATTGTTGTTCCCAGGTAGCAGGTGTGGCTGTCAATGGTCCGTTGGAATCATCTCCATGCTCAGAGACTGATGGGGAAGGGGAGCACACCCTCTCGTGTCGCTCACCCAACGCTTCCCAAAAGTGTGTCATGTCCGGCTGCGGTTGACCCCCAATAAAGTTGGCGAAGCACAGCGCTACTAGGCGGTCCAAAATCACAATGACCTCTGCGTCGCCTCTAGTTGACGAGCTTGGAGGTGGTTGGGAAGCGGCGCCATGGGACCGTAGCAACGACCCCACTGCATAGAGCAGCTGAAAAACCAAGTTCGAAGGTAGTGTGCGGTAGGCCTGGGCCGGGATGCCTTGCACCCACCCCTCAAACCAGGCTCTAATCTGTGTGTTGGTGTCTGAACTATGAATTGTTGATGCAAGGCTTAGGCCCCCGGTGTTTCGGTCAGAAGGAGACCGCGAGCGGCGTGGTTTCGGCGATGAAATCCGTAGAGGGTCGGTGGATGGCCGTGGCTCGTATAGACGAAGAATAACCGTGTTGATGTGGGTTGTCAATACGGCTTCCAATGACAAGTCAGTCTCGTTGTCAGATTCTTCCAGAATAGACCTTCTTACAGTTTGTTTTAAGCTCCGAGGGCATCTCTCTCATCACCTTGTCCAGATATTCCTGTGACGACGCAATTGCGGTGCCCCTTTCTCGGTTCTGTTGCTCAGGGAGGTCTGGTTGGGGAGTCTTGAGAACTGCCACCCGCTCGGTCAGATACTGCAGTTTGATGCAGTACACCAAAATCTCGTCCAGGTCGTGGTCTTCTTCTTCATCCAACTCCACCAGGCACTGGCGCATATAAGAGGTGAAGGGCATCGAGGTTAGTTGCTGGAGATACATTGCCGCTCTGACAGGTGGATGGTCAGTTGATTTTCCTAGTTGGAGGAGTGTGCCACACTTACGAGCTTCTCAGATACCATACCCCCAAAAGCAGCCTTTTCTCATCTGCCATTCTCCCCTCGTTTTGTACCTGGGGCCTCTTGTTGATGCCAAGATCGCTGACCAGGCTCTCGGCTAGACATAGCAGATTGTTTAGCTGGCTGTGTCGCATGCAATGGTAGTGATACCACCCCAACACAACAACAATGCCCATCAGAAGATCAATGGACCTTTCGGCTTGTCGAAACATGCGGTCGGCCACATGGTCCATAATATGCTGCATCTGGCCTTGTACCGAATGCAGTCCCTCAAACCCAGCCACCACTCGAATGGCAAGCATCAAAAAGGGTCGATGGGTTACCAGCATCGAGGCTGATACATGGTCGGGAATTAAAACGAACGGGTGTGCCGGCATCAAGCAGGTTCGGTATCGGTTCAACAGCAGGTCATCAAGATCCTCTCGCCCTTCAATGAACAGCGGGTTCAGGTGTTGTTGATTCAAGCAGTGAGGTGGGCTGGCTGTAAAAAAGTATGATTCGTGTTGAACTGATTGCTGGCTTTGCATTGATGAGGTTCGTATCAAGGACGGTCTGACATCCAGAGAGCCCATGGGTGTGGCTGCTGAAGTGTGGCTCCGGACTGATGATGACGAACATGAAGCAAAGTCTGCTCCCAGATCGACTGCGGACGGTGATGGAGGGTTTTCTGGCGTAGAGACAAGAGAGTCGAAGCTGGGCTCTCCTAAACCTGCAGTCGGTCTAGATAAGGTATGAAATGTCAAAAAAAAAGAAGGCTCTCTGAGGCTACCAGGCAAGTGGTCGGGGCTTACTGTCGAGGCTGACGAGTCTTGCGAGGACGATGGACTTGATCGGTACATTGCTTCAGCAGGCGCTCGCATCTGTACATGTAGTCCGAGAATACGAGTTAGCAACCAAGTAAGCCTGAAAATAAGGTTGTGTTACAACTGCACTTGGCATGGGCTGAAGACGAACCTATCGCATTTTCCACCACTTGCTGACCGTCCAGAGCACTTTGCCTTCGCTGAAGCACACTGAGCACATGCCGTCCCCCACTTGGTTGTCTGGATGGCCTTTGCACGCATCATGGTGTGTGATGTTGGGTGATGGTGGGCGAGAAGAGAGAAAAGACTGTGTGACTGGTATTCTTCAAGTGCTTTCTTTGCAGGAACCTGTTTTTTCAGCAAGTGGCTGCGGAAGAGGACTCAGAAAGGGGATAAGGCGACAATGGGGGGCACAGGTGAGATGGGTCCAACAACAGTCCCCACAGTGAGCGTGTAAGTGTGTGTGTGTGTGTGTGTGTATGTTTGTGGCGCGATTTGGCTTGGAGTCCGTTAGATAGGTGGTCAAATGGGTGCTGATGTCAGAATGTTGAATGTCATGATGACACAGTCCAGTTCCCCCTCCTCTATATACATATATCACGTCAAATGATGGACAACCAAGGCGCCGGGAGGGAGGGAGCAGGGCCGGCCAAGGTGCTGTAGATCGAAACGGCCCGTGGTAGGGCTGAGCTGGGATACCAAGACCACACACCCAAACCCCTGCCCCTGGTACAAGAGGGGGCCCAAAACACCGTTCCAGAGTTCCAGCGCATCCTGCGCCCATGCTCAGTCTGCATTAGCATCTAGGCTACACTTTTTGTGCCCGGTCACGTCACTTTTGCTCGATGATATGCTGCCCTTTTGCTCTGCTTGACCGCCTACGTCTAGAGAGTCGACATGGCCCACGTTGTGCCGATATGGTGTGAAATGTGGGGACTGGGCTTTTACCCGCTATAGACTACCCGTCCACTAGCATACCGCTTGAGAGCCCACAGGACAAAAGAGGGGCAATACAGACAGGCAGCAGAATAAAAACTTCAAGGTCGCCGTTCTCTGGCCCGCTCTCTCGGCTCACAGTGCTCGGCGTGCCGAACATGTCTGCGTTGGCCATGGGATAGCGAGAAAAGCTCCGAGGCGCGAACTTGGAGATCCATGACTTCTAAACATCCGTCCCCTGAAGCGGCCTCAGGCTGACGTCTATCCCGTAAAGCCATCATTTCTTCGGCGCAAAACAGCACCAGTCAGACGGGAAGGATGGTGGAAATAGCGCGAAGGATGTTTGCTCGCTTGAGAGGTGCCCTAAACTTGTCAGGCCGATCAAGGTTGGTCTCCTTGGCGAAGCCTTAACCTTATCTGGACCTTCGAGAGACACAGAAGCGTCCTTTTGGACGGCACTGAAAATGGAACCCATGACAAAAAGCCCCTTGGCACGCTCTGTGGCTCTTGAACCCTCCCCCACCCTTCCTCTCTGGTCGTGGAAGGAAAACAAAACGGCGGGGGGACCCGCTGCCAAGGCACCATTGGCTTTCTAATCAGGTAAAACCCCCGCCACAATTGACCACAGGCGAGATCTTGTGCTTTGTACACAACCATGGCCCAATCTTCTCATTTTTGCGCGAAATTTGTCGGCTCTCAACAAAGATATCGACTATTGATTTGCTACCTTGAAGAGACAGGAGATCACGAACCCCTTGATCAAGACATCAAGCTTTGTTCTAGTTGGAGTCCCCCAGCCATCATCGCCAGTGTGGGCGGTACCGGCACCCGTAACCGTACCTTTAGCAATTGACTTTGGTCACGGTGTGATGCCCCTCGTTACTACCCCTTAAGGTACCTCTCATGTGCAGGCTTCTGTGCCCAAAACTTGGCTTCCTCTGAAGCTGCTGATGATTTTTGATCGCGACGGTTTCATTGGTGTAAAGGGTGATGGTGGTTGCTGGGATCGGAGTTTTTGTCCCCCATCACACACCGAGCTGGTGAGTGGGAGAGGGGTGGTTTCCAAAAGCTCATGACACCTACCAATCTCAGGCTGGCCTCGGGGCACAACACCATCCCATGTTGCCAAAGTCAGAAATAAGGTCGCTGCGGGCGGAGGAGAGATATCAGGAATTGCGATGACTCTGTAGTGTCGTCAAACGACGAATAGGGGGCATTGTTTACCCATGAAAGGGGGTTCCAAACATCTGGCAGGTGTGGGCACTCGTCAGCAGCTGGCCGCCCCCACAGCCATCCGAGCATAGAAGGTGACATCATCAAATATCTTTACAGAACGTCAATCTACCTGCTACAACTTTAATGGAGACATTGTATCTTACTGTGGAACCGAATTGGCGGTGGAATCATCAGGTCAGAATGTTCTCTGTATGAATCCTTTTACCATTTTTGATCTCATTGAGCTTCTAGCTACCAGACTCTTTAATGCACCACACCACTCTCCTCTCAGGAGCAACATCCGTGTAGTCTTTGGCTACCAAAAGGGCATAAGATGACCGCGAACTGTGCCGGTCACCTATTCAGATCCTTATACGGCAATTTGATCCTGTTATCGCATACAACGCCGCAGGGATCAAACAACAACCAAGTGCCAGAAGGAAAATCGGGCAGACTTCCGTCACGACGAGAAGGCAACCAGCAACACTCCAGGGGTAGAGGCGTTTGTTGCTGATGCTTTATGTGTCTCGTAGGTATATCGATGGAACTCTAAGCCCACCCCTGCATAAGCCCTTGTTGCTGGCGGTCTTGTTCATGATGGAATCTTCCGTCAAGATTTTGACTTCGAGCGTACCTGAACCGTATGTAAACGAACTGTTGTAAAGGCCAAGGAGACCGCCACCCACCACTTGGCTATGGATGGCACGTACCATTGACGTGTTTCATGATGTGGTAGGGCTGCAGTTCTTATCTGTCGGAAACGCCGAAAACTCCGATCAGGTGTGCGGAGAATGGGTGCGGCAGTTGCTCCCAGAGGCCTCAATATTACCTACATGATTTCCAGTCCCTTTGGTTCAAAAGATCAACTGGCTCGACAATCCATAATTTAACGAGTCGGCATCGCCCGTCCTGAGTTCCGAGGAACTTGCACAATGTTCATTGAGTTTTCGGTGCAAAGCCATATGCTCCATGATGCCGGCCCCGGCCCGAGGCCAGCAAGGGATTAGCCTCCCCCTGTCCCTCGTTCCCCACACCCAACAACAAGGAACGGGATGACATAATACCACGACCGGAGATGCTGATCGATGATGCCTGAGGATCATGGTGGCTAGGTAGGTTGTTAAGCTTCGTTGCATACATGGAAATAGAACGATACCCAGGCAGAGATGGTCATACTCAACAGAGTAAAGCGCCAATAAGTCATACGCATCTGGGCATGAATTGGTCTGTGACTTGAACCAAGAGGTCATTGATCTGAGAGTAGGATAATTTTCAGGGATACGTAGAAAGGCCGATGCTGGTTGAAACAGCTCTTCGAGGCAATCATCAATGGAAGGGTTGACCTGCCCAAAATGGGTTCGAAGCTCTGCACCTTCTGAGTACGCAGTTACCTAGCTAGGATCTTTCTAAAAGTAGTTTTGCGCACTTTGAAACTGGTCCCCGAGGCAATCATCAGTCAAACTGTGGGAAGCACTCTCTAGAAGCCAGAGCTCAAACTTTATACCTGATAGGCTTTGTACTAGCAGTTTTGCACCTCAATATCTCGTCTATCTTTTGATCGGGAGTGTACCAGGTCGTCGTGGGCTCAAATCACCAGGCAGGAAATCGTCAAGGTTGAGGAGGAAAGCGTTGTATTGTTTTAAAGGAGAGAATCACCCTCCAAAACTGAGCAAAGCCTATAAACTACTGTCCTCCACCAATCCCCACTGATCGCCCCACAGGAGCAACGGCTGCTCAGGGCGGACCAAGCCAAGTAAGTAGAACTTTCCTACTCCAAGTGATAGCACCATATCTTTGAGTTGCATCTTTTGCGTATTCATTCCATTAATCGATTAATTATGCTTTGATACCAAGTATATCTTTCCGATATCGCCAACCATTTCCCCCGTTCCTACCATCCATCCCACTGACCTTTTCCCTGTTCCATTTTGGTATCACAAGACAATCCCAAAACACCAGACCCAGTCACCCACCCCTAAAGATCTCAGCACCACCACCTTGACCAGTTCCGACCTCCAATGCAGCCCAGTAGATATGCACCAGAAACCCGACGATAAACCATCCCTCCGGATTCCATGACCAGCGCAACCCGTACCACCAGTCCAAATGCTGATCTCCAACCAAGAAAACTGAAAAGCAACGCAAGCTGTACCGCAAGTAACATCCATTAAACACCTAATAGTTTCCAAACGCACCATCTTAAGCGAGACAACGAGCATCGTCACTCATAAACCCGGCCGACCATTCATATTCTTGAAAAAGAGGAGAGTCGAAGATTTCAAGCTGAACCCTCAGACTACCTTCCAACAGTCAAGTCGTGATGATTGCAGTTCATGCGCGCGGTGCCGTGGGGGAATCAGCCACAGTCGTCCCGCCAGGTGACGCAGCTCCGTTAGGCGGCGTCACTGTCTCGCGGGGTGTAGCATGTCCGTCGGCAACGCTTCCATAGCGTTCCTTCTCCTGTACCCTGGCCGTGTCAAACTTGAGCTTCTCCTCGTCATCGACATCCTGGCCGGGGTTGCACTCCTTCCACCGGAGGTACTTGAGCAGCGCATAGAATCCTGAGGCCAGCAGCGAGCCCAGGATGGGGCCCAGGAAGTAGATCCAGAAATAACCTGGGAAGCTCCGGTTGACCACCGCTGGTCCGAGGGAGCGGGCAAAGTTGAGAGAGCCGCCGGTGAAGTATACGCCTATCAGCAGTCAGCATTCCATTCCACTTCCACCCAACCTTGACAGCAAACTTACCAACCAGCTCGGCAAGGAAGAAGGCCATTCCAATAGCGACTGGTGCCAGATAGGTGCTCTTGTGCTTCTCGGCCGCCACCATGATGACGACAAACACCAGCTCGGCCGTGAGAAACATTTCAATAAAGAGGCCCTGGGCAACGTTGGCACCCCCTCCAAGCGTCGTCTCGACATCCATGGGCCCGGGGAACAAAGCCGAGACAACACCAGCGGCAGCCATACCGGCGAGCAGCTGGGCAACCACGACGATGACGCTGCGGATTGCTGACAAACCACCAACCAGAAACAGAGCGAGCGTGACGCTGGGGTTGAAGAGCCCGCCTGTGACACGGTAGAAAGCCCACACGTTCGCCATCAGACTCAGACCGAACACCAAGGCGATAAACATGAGGTTCTGGGTGTTGGGAACGGCAATATCGGTACCGGACTCGAGCTGGGCAGGACCTGAATTGACGGCAATCTGGGTACCGGCAAAGGAAAAGAACAGAAACAAGAAGGTTCCAACAAACTCTCCCAGGAAAGCCGTGATGTTGTTGCGTGTGCTGGCCGGCTTGGACAGCATCGGCAGCGTCATAGTGTTGGTGTGATTCATTGTGTCGGTGGGCCTCGCGTTGACGTTTGAGATGTCGTCGTTGTTGTTATTGTGATAGTTGTGCCCGTTGACGTTGGAGGCGTACGATAGAAAACGACTGCGAGGCATTTTGATTTTTTTTGGAGTGAACAAAGTGTGGGGAGGTGAGTGGAACAGATGGAGGATGGTATTTAATAAAAAAAATGGGATGAATATTGTGTTCAAGGGCTCTCGGATCGTTGGCCCGGCTGGGGTAAGGGACGATTCCGAGTTGAGGCAAGGCGAGCAAAGTAAGCCAACTGATGCCAAGGGTCGACAGTGCCGTAAAATCTGAAAGGGGCTGGTTGGCCTGGTGGTATTATTGTTGCATGAACCGCACGAAAAGAGGTCGACTGTGCCCCCTGCGTTAGCCAAACGGTCCAGAGATTTGGAAAGGGTATGGTCAGCAGCTCATATATGCGACGGGCGCAAGCTGAAAGAAGGGACCATTTGGTGATCGGGACGGGTCGGGTGATCTGGGCTGAGGGCTCACTGTTCACACGCTGCCGTCGAAAGAAACCAAACCAATTGCGGCATGAAGGTGTGGAGGACATGTTGCGGTTACAGTGTTTTGCGCAACAGTACACAGCAGCTGGAGAAAAAGTCACGATGTCTCGTTTTGGGCATCAGACGAATCGCACACAATGACGCAATGTCTCGGTCCGGTAGTAAAGATGTGCTACAATGCATTCTGTGGACGGGCAGCCGCTTTCAGTACTCCGTACTTCTGTTGACGGTCATCCAGTCTGAAAGAACGACATCATCGATAACTCACGACCAGGGTCCAGGGAGGAGCATCAACAAAGGCACGACCCCCATGTCAATGTCAGTGTCTGTGTCCCGAGGACACGGCCCGAGGAAAACGTCAGGCCAGTCTAGAACCAGCTCCCGGGGACGCCCCTGCCCTACATACAGACCGCGCAGTAGTAGAGAGTTTAATTACCCATTGAAGAAAGAAACGAATTTGATGCACGCAGGGTCCTAGCACGCCGAGCTAGTTCTTTTTCGACGTCTCACTCGCTCTCACCGCTCCGTTTCAGTGTTTGAAGGGGAAGCCGTTCCCCGGGTCCATCTTGGTAATGCTGCAGGTCGCAAATGAGGCAGAAGAATCAAATTCAAGCCACAGAGAGCAGAGGTGTTGAGTGCATGACAGTGGCGTGACGGGGTTGGCTACTCCAGTCGTAGTTCAAAGTCGGCCATTCCCGAGGGTGGAACATGGGGGAGCTGATGTTCCAGATGTTTACTCCACGCACGGATCACTCAGCGCACCACCGGGATCCATCCGCCCCCGGGGCCGTCCTAGATCGGTCCTATCATGTCTCCTTTGTGTATTCCTAGAGGTGCATGTACAACATATCTCTACCTACATTCAGCACCAGAAGGGAAATGATCATCCCTTCTATCGCTATACGCTCACTTTCACCCCCGAGATTGTCTCCAGCGCCGCAAGCAGCCCCTCTTGCATCGACTGGTCATTGGCAGTCTTGGACGGTTCCTCCTCCCTCAACGCGGTGAAATACCCGCCTGGGGTCCACCTCTCGTCCTCATACTCCCCTTTCCCATCCGTCTGACCGCCAGTGGCCACCCAGACAAACGTGTCGACCGCCAGTTGCATATCCCCCGTCGCGTTCGCGCCCCCCATCTTTGTAGGAACCCAGCCCGGGTGAACGCTATACGCTTTTGTCTGCCAGACCCTGGCAAACGCCTTTGCCAAGATGATATTGTGAAGCTTGCTGTCGCCGTACCCGCTCTTCTTGATGTCCTCGGAGTCGCCCAGCCGGGGCCTACCGCCGGCGTGAAGCTCGCTGCTGACAAAAACCAGCCTCTTTTGCGCGCCGGGTCCCATGAGAGCAGTGAGGATGTAAGGGGCAAGTGTGTTGACGGTGAACAGTGTCGGCAGCCCAGACTTTCCGGGGACCTTTTCCATGCCCGTGTAGACGCCTGCGTTATGGATGACGGCCTCGTACGGCCCCAGTTCCGATGCTTCTTTGGCAAGCTGCTTGGTCTCTTCAATGGACGATAAATCGGCAATCAGAACTGTTTCTGCGCCGGGACAAGCCTTGCGTGCATCTTCGGCACGTTGAGCGTTGCGGGCGTGGAGGATGACAGTGTGTCCCTGCGAGATTAGTTTGTTGGCGGTGCGGGCGCCGAGGCCGTCTGAGGACCCCGTGATGAAGAATCGGCCCATGATGGTGAAGAGGAGTGCGGGCGGATGGTCACGATATGATGCAGAAAATGGCTCTCAGTTGTTGATGGAGTTGCTTCTCTGCAGTGAAATCTAGCTGCCCATCCATGAGGAGAAGTGGGAAAATCGTTCCCCCTCAGACATCAAGCTTGGCACACGACCCGCTCCACCTCCATGTCATGATGTTTGATCCACGCCTCGCCAATCCACAATGCTGGGGATGCCTGAGATGCTACGGCTCTCCAGATGGAAAAAGGCGCATGCGCTCTAGTCCCTATGAAATTTGTCAATTTACCTTGGGAGGTAGCAAGACGGCTATACAACCAACACACAGGAAGGAAACACAGCTCCGGATCAGGCCGACCACGTAACCAACAAGAAACGGCGATGCATACAGCAACATCAGAATACCGGACATCGAACGTGGAAGTGAACGTGGACGTGGAATCAAGCATTTCCGACACTGTCGATCACTGCATGTCATCGTTTATAGCATCGACTGCAGCGTGCCGGTGCACCCTCTGCAGCATCGGGACCGCCGGCGTGTCCTGTACGTCTCCGAGGGATAGTGCACAACAACGTGGCAGCCTCTGGTGGCAGCTCTTGTGATTCAGTTGGCGTGTTCCGTCCGACCATGTCACCGCAGAGAGACAGAAAGGTGCCGTGTATCTTGTTGTCCAAGTGGGTGTTTTGTGTCTTTTCCAGATTCCCGCCCGAAATTGCGATCCATCTATCCAGCGCGAGAAGGCTACATTGCATGATCCAACTTCCCGTCCAGCAGGTTTATCCCCTTCCACCGTTGTAGTCGGCCCCTCCAGCCTTCCGCAGCCTCTTGACAACCTCGTCCTCGTTCAAGTCGCCCTTGTCGTTGGCCGTCAGCTCGACGCTGTAGTGGCTCAGCACCTTCTTGACGTCGCCGGCCTCGATGCTCGCCCTCGCCTTCTTCATGACCTTGGCGTTCTCGCCAATCCAGACCACAAAGGCAAACTTGACCCTCTTGCTCTCGGCATCGTTTGCGTATTCCACTCGGACGTATGCGTACTGCACCTGGGTGTCGTCGAGCTGGGCCGTGAGCTCCAAAAGGCCGCCGGTGCCCGTGGCTGTCAGCTGCAGCTTGTTGCCCGTCGCGCCGTACGACAACAGAAGCCAGTTTTGTTCTTCCTTGTCGGAACGGATAGAGTCGTAGGCGGCGAGGACTTCGGGAGAGTTGACGCCTGACATATTTTCTCTTGTTTTCTCTGGGCTGCCCAAAGGGTCGGGAATCGTAGTGCGGGGTTGACCGACAGGGACAGGTCGTGGAACACGGTCGGTCGGGACGGTCGACTAACTAGCGTGGGCGATTACAAGTGAGTAGCTGTAATAGTATAAATGTGAAGTGTAGAGGAGAAAATGCACCCACGCCTGGAGATAATGAGAGAACACCGACTACGGTATGGAGGATTGGGTCAAGAATGAAAAGGGGCAGATGGAGATGGAGATGCCACTCCGGTCGAGTCCTCCACCCGTTTCAGGGTCCAGATGCCGCCAGCGCAGATCTCACGTCTTGGCGGTCGTGGCAGCTGCCGGATGCCCGCCCTAACCCTGGCATTGATTTTCTAGATCATGACATGGTCCCGGCAGCGGAAAGGAAACAGTGCATCAAACAATTCTCATCTATACCACTACATACTCTGTGCTCCAGGCCATGCAACCATGATATTACCAAATCCCGCTGATGGACAGATCTCGTGAACTCAACCCGACCGAAAACTCGTACGGCCCCTCCGTCACCATGACCCAATTCTGAGCCACGACATCCCAATAACTCAGGTCTCGCCTCGTAAGGTTGAACTTGACCGTCTTCTTCTCCCCAGGCTTGAGGTAGACCTTGTCAAAGCCTCTCAGCACGCGAACGGGAAAGTCCGTTTCCGATTCGGTTTCTGGGTATTGCAGATACAGCTGCGGCACCGCCGCTCCCGCAACCGGCCCGTCATTGATCACGTCGACATTCACAACAACATAGTTTGACCACAGGTCGGGGTTCCCACCCTCGTCACCGCCAGCCTCGCTCAGGGGTGGCTGCTGATCATACCCGTCAGGGTAAGGGTACTGGCCCACTTCGATATCATCTGTGCTGTCCAGATACGGATAGACGTACTTTTCCAGCCTGCGAATCTCGGGCGGAAAGATTGCCTCTTCCTTGCTGGGGATGTCGGTTGAGTAGCTGGGAGGCTCAGCAGCGGGGTTCGGTCTGCGCAGGGGATACTGCGTCTTCCTCCTCTGGGGGATGACCACAATATTGTCAAACTTGAAGGTTGTGTAGCTGAGCCCAAAGCCAAACTCAAACCTGGGCTCAATGTTGTACTTGTCAAAGTGACGATAGTCAATGTACAGTCCTTCTTTGAAGTCCTGCTGAGGCACCACTCCGTTGGGAAGATAGAGCACCTTGCCACCGGCGCCGTAGTCTTCCAGAGTCCGTCCGATGGTGAAGGGCAGGTGGCCCGATGGGTTGGTGTCGCCAAAGAGTATCTCTGCCAGAGCATTCCCAGACTCTTGGCCGGGGAGATTGGCAAACAACAGAGCCTTGACGTTCGGGGTGTCGATCCAATCTTCCACAAGCACAGGTCCGACGGCGTGGATGACAACAACGACATCGCCAGTGCCACCGCCACAGCTGGAGGCAACCTTGACGATTAGGTCGTCGCCGTTGTTTTGAAGCCGCAGGTCGGGACGGTCGCCGCTGACATCCGCCCATTTGGTGAAACCCTCCCCGGCATCGGCATTGGCAAAGACGATGCACAGTTCCAGATCATTCAGACTGCCGTCGCCCTTGCCGAAAGACGCCTTGTTGTCCAGAAATTCGGAGAGCTCGACTTTGGACTTGTCAAACTGCTTCCGCAGCGCCTCTACAGGTGACACAAGGTAGGGGAACTCGACAGCACCGGAACCCCAGCCCGAACCAAGCGTGCCTTGGTTACTGTTACTTTGTCAGCTTGACAGTCGAGGCAAATGGTTCGAGTGAGAAGACTTACCAACCGCGGTCCTTGCATGCATTTGGGCCGTTGCCCGGCCCTGCATCCTCGCCAAAGATGCCTACCTTGAACTTTCCTTCGCTGCGCTTCCCGGTGGCACGCTCGACAGCATCCCTTCTAGCCCTGAGCCTCTCGTCACTCAGCCCCTGACGACTGATGGGCAGCAGATCCTCATTCTTGAGCAGGACCGTGCCTTCAGCCGCGACCTCCCTCGCAATGACCGAATGATTTGCCTGCACATTGACAAACTGGTTGACAACCACTTGCTCTTGCTCGGTTGGGCTGCCTGGAGACATCACGCCCTTCTCTTCATCTGTCCAGGACGAGAAACTGGGCTGCTTCCTGGGAAACTTCTTCTCGTCATCCTGTCCGAGCTGGTACCAGGCGGCCACGATACGGGTCACCATGTCGTTCAGCCGCTCCAGGGGCACACTTCCGTTCAAAACAGCTCTGGACAGCTCTGGACCCCAAAGCGATTTACCGTCAGCCCAGCCCAACCCGTCACCGGGCATTGTCATATCCAAGCCAGCAAGCGCCGTGCCGACACCAGAGTGCTGGGCCAGCCAGTCACTCATCACGAAGCCTTGGAAGCCCAACTCGTCCTTCAAGATGCCGTTCAGGAGCTTGCTGTTGCCGCATGCATACGAGTTGTTGACCTGATTGTAACTGCACATGACGGAGGCCACACCAGCCTTGACGGCATCGCCAAATGGCCAGGCGTACAGCTCATGCAGGGTGCGGTCGTCGATGTTGGAGCTGATGGCATGAGGAAGTCCCCACTCCCACGGCTGGCGGAAGTGCTCCTGCTCGTTGGCCACAAAATGCTTGATCGTCGCCATGACGCCCTCGCTCTGGATTCCCTTCACCGTCTCGGCGCCAGCAATGCCCTGAAGGTAGGGGTCTGCACCAAAGCCCTCCCAGTTGCGACCACCTGCTGGCATCCTGCCTAGTGGTCCCACGCAAGGCCCAAGCAAGACATTGATCCCCTTTTGCCGCGCCTCAATGGCATGAGCCTTGCCCCTCGCGTACATCAGTTGCCTGTTCCACGTCGCGCCGACCGTGATGCCAGCAGGAAAGGCGGTGATGTTGTCTGCAAATCTGATGCCCAGGGGTCCATCCTGCAGTTGCAACTGCGGGAAGCCCACATGAATGGCCGGGGCATTCGTGCCGACAGCCAAGCCCATCTCCCACCCCGTGCCGGTGGTGACATTCACCTTTTCCGCCAATGTCATTTTCGACACCATCTTGGAAGCCTTGGCATAGCTATCAGCCCAGGAAGCAGCAATGCCTCCTTTCGGTGTGGGATACCAGGGCGGCGACTGTCCGTACGGTGGCTCTTCTTGGGCCTTTCTGTAGACAAACACCCCGGTTGCTGTCAGAAGCACCCAAAGAATGCCCATCCCTGCCAACACGCCGATACAGCACTTGCTTCTCCTCCCCAGCGTTGTGAAAAGGCACGAGCACCATCTTTTTTTGCCTTTTGTGTTTGGCTCGAAGGAAGCGGTCGGCGATCGTCTCGTTGGGCGGGCAGCTTCGCGGTCAATGTAATCGGTAGCGTCGAGATCCGAGTCGGAGTCAAAAGCAGCGTTATCACCGCGATCGCTGGAGCTAGACCGTCTGGTGGAGGACTCCTTGAGGAGTCCTTGGGCGCTCTCGTCGTGGGCCATCGTGCGCTCGCCGCTTTGGAAGGCTGGAGTTCGCCCGTTACCTAATTCGGGGTAAATATGTTATCTGAGCCCTCGCAATAGGCGCGTCATCGGGGTGGTCAGCGGATCGCTGGTGATGGATTCATCCTTTCCCAGTGTCGGTGTTTGCCCGATCCGCCGCGTCTCAGCTGAAGCGCTGGCAATCCATCGATCTTGGCACTCAGTACCCGATTGGGCGGCCCGAGAAACAGCAACTGGCCTGTGCGCTCGGTTGCTCCCGCGCCCTAAAATATCCGAAGTCCAAGCTGCCAGGAGCTCCCCAGAAGCTCAGCTTTGACAGGTGGGGTGGGATGGTTTGTATGAACTCTTCGAGCCGCGGGCCAGGGGGAAAGAACAAAGCAAAAAGTAGTGATTTCAGTGTCCCATTGATCTTGAGAGAGCTTGCTGATGTCGCGAGAAAAAGTAAGAGAAATTAAGAATGGTTGACGTGCTGCTTATCTCTCTTGGTCTGTCGTCATCTTAACGGATAAGATAAGAATAAAAACCCAAGGTGGTAGACATGGCTAATTGAAATTGATCAAGTCGGTTCCGATGTCGCAAGTTGCATTTCCCAACGTCTTGTCTCCATCTGGATTGTACCTCTCAATCCAGCCTTTTGGAGATAAGTTTGGAGTAGATAATATTGTGGGAGGGTGTCATGGTTCCCCACGATGCAGCAGACCCCCACATGGGGCGAACGCGGGGCACCGCGTTTCGTGAACTGTGACCCATCCCAGACTCCCAGCTCGTCGACGCCTCACCCACCAGCTGTGCCACCGAGCAGCCAATTGTGAGGGCAGAAAAACGCCTATCAAGACCATGGGAATCCGGTACGCAAAAACCTGGGGTCTAGAAACCGCCATTTTCATGGCCGTATCTCTGCGTCTAGGTGAAGAAGACCCGCGCCTCGCAATGAGTGTTGGCTCATGTCGGGAATCGAGATATCTTCACTGCAACGGCAGAGCTCAGCAGAGCTAAAGCCGTTTCCATCAGTCATTTTCTCGTCTCCAAAGCAGATCAGACTTCTCCGGAGACACCAGATGACAATGTGCCCCATGTCTGATATCGAGATCCCCATGTGTCTCCTGGTGAGAATGACAGAGGAAATCACAATCGACCAATCAGCACCGCTGCCGCAATCAACGATGCTAGCGCCAAGCGAAGGTGGACCCGCCGTTATCTCCATGAGGGATCGTCGAGTGCCCACTGGCAACGTTAAGGTGGTGGCACTGCACGATTGGCCAGCCTGGAGTCGGATCTCTTATCTCCAGCTCCTTGATTTGCAACCGCCTTCACCAAATGCAATATCCCAATTGGGACCGTTCCTGGTCCACACCACAAGCTCCCGTCACAAGTCGAGACTCCATCATGGACGCCAGCGGGAGCTATTCGGCAAGTCTTTCTGTTTGCTTGGTGCTGTCTCGGGCTGCTGTCTTGAATTGATTGATATGAGACCCCAGGGACCTTGGGTTGTTAAGCTATACCAAAACTACCTCGCAGTCAACTGATTGGCCCCCGCATACAGTCAGCATCGCCAGGGACAAGCTCAAACAGCTATTACTGATTGAATGCCTTATCTCTGGCCCTGCACGGCAATCCTCGTGGCGCCGGTAGTCGCTCTACAGCCCAGACTTTGGGTGGTGCGGCCAGAGTGGGTATGGACGGCCTGGCTCCCGAGCCCACCTCGGAATTCACAGCCTACCAAGGAGACAGCTCGCGAAGGGCCGGGTTGCTTTCTCGATACCGGTCGCTTGCGGTGCGCCACCGACCCTGCATGCACCCACAGAACGTCCGGCAGACCCCCCACAGCTCGCGAATTGATACCCTTGGCACCCACCTCCCAGAGCTTCGTTCTTGCTTGTGCCCGGCAAGGCCCATTTTTCCCCAGCATCTGTTCCAAAGATCCTGCCAGTGCTGATAGCAGAATGTGAAGCTGTGATTCGACGTCTGTCTGCGAAGCCGGCCGGGAGCCATGTCCCCGGCATCGCACCGCAGCCATCTCCAGACTCTATATCTATGCCGTGTCCCCGACGCCTCATGTCAACTTGCTTCTCCCTCCAGGATCACCATCACACCTAACCCACCCCTCTGTCTGTTGCTTCCCGCCAGCTCTCAGACAAGATGGATCACGCTCCCGCCGATCAAGAGCACATCGCCAATGCCACGCTCGGCCAGGGCGCCGGCTATGGTGTCGTGCTGGGCCTGGGAGGTGCCTTTGCCATTGGTACGTGTTCTGAGACACTCCAGATGATGGACATGTGCTAACCCTAGCCAGGCATGATCGCCACAACCTTCATCCTGAAGAGGTACAACAGGGAACTTCAGACATCTGAAATGTTCAACACAGCTGGCCGTACTGTCAAGTCCGGTCTCGTCGCCGCTGCCGTCGTCTCTTCGTGGACTTGGGCCGCTACCCTTCTTCAGTCCACCGGTGTTTGTTATCGCTATGGTGTCTCGGGTCCCTTTTGGTATGCCTCGGGCGCTACTGTCCAGATCATTCTCTTCGCTACTCTCGCCATCGAACTCAAACGCCGCGCCCCCAACGCACACACCTATCTCGAGGTCATCAAGGCCCGATACGGAACTGTGGCACACTTGGTATTCATGGTCTTTGGCGTGATAACCAACATTTTGGTCTCGCTCATGCTGATTGTCGGTGGCTCAGCCACCCTCAACGCCTTGACCGGGATGCACACCATTGCTGCCATTTACCTCCTGCCACTCGGTGTCATTGCCTACACCATGGTTGGTGGGTTGAAGGCTACCATCTTGACTGATTGGGCACACACCTTCATCTTGCTGCTCATCATCATCATCTTTGCCCTGACAGCCTATGCCTCTCACGACTTGCTGGGCTCTCCCAGCGCTGTCTACGACCTGCTTGTCGAGGCTGCCACCCGTCACCCGGTTGACGGCAACAAGGAGGGCAGCTACTTGACCATGCAGTCCAGGGAGGGCGCCATCTTCTTCGTCATCAACATTGTTGGCAACTTCGGCACCGTCTTCCTTGACAACGGCTACTATAACAAGGCTATTGCTGCCTCGCCCGTGCACGCACTTCCCGGCTACATCATTGGCGGTATCTGCTGGTTCGCTATTCCCTGGCTCACTGCCACCACCATGGGTCTCGCCGGTCTTGCCCTCGAGAACAACCCTCGCTTCCCCACCTATCCTGACCGCATGCTCGACTCCGATGTGAGCGCCGGCCTAGTCCTCCCCTACGCCGCGGTTGCCCTTCTCGGCAAGGGCGGTGCCATGGCTACTCTGCTCATCGTCTTCATGGCTGTCACCAGCGCCTTTTCCAGTCAGCTGATTGCCGTGAGCACCATCTGCACCTACGATCTGTACCGCGCCTACTTCAAGCCCGAGGCCAGCGGCAAGAGACTGATCTACATGAGTCATTGCGTCGTCGTTGGCTATGGTTTGTTCATCTCCACTTTTTCGGTTGGTTTGTGGTATGCCGGCATCTCCATGGGTTATCTCTATGTCATGATGGGAGTCATCATCTCGTCAGCCGTCCTGCCCGCAACACTGGCCCTGCTCTGGTCTGGCCAGAACAAGTGGGCTGCCGCCGGCGCTCCCGTCCTCGGCCTTGCCACCTCGCTCACTGCCTGGCTCGTCACCTCCAAGAAGCAGTGCGGCGAGCTCACAGTCCAGTGCACTGGCTCCAACATCCCCATGTTGGCTGGCAATGTCGCCGCTCTGCTTTCCCCCGTCGTCTTCATCGCCATTCTCACCGCCATCTTTGGCGTTGACAAGTACGACTGGAAGTCCATGTTGGAGATCCGCAGGGGTGATGATCACGATCTCGCCCAAGAGGCTGGTGTCGACCTTGAGGATGTTAACGGCGGCCACGAGGAGACCCAGGCCGAGTTTGAGGCTGAGCAGTCCAAACTTCTCAAGGCTGGCAAGATCAGTAGATGGACCACCGTCATTTTGGTATGTACCTTGCCTTCTCTCCGGTTTGAAACAAAGCTAACATTGCTCACAGGCCCTTGCCTTCTTGGTTCTCTGGCCCATGCCCATGTACGGTAGCGGATACATTTTCAGCAAGCCCTTCTTCACCGGTTGGGTCACGATTGGCATCATCTGGATTTTCGGCTCCTTCATTGGTGTCGGCTTGTTCCCTGTCTGGGAAAGCCGGGCCACCCTCACCAGGACATGCAAGTACATCTGGAAGGATTTGACCGGAAAGAGCCACATCAAGACCATTCACGCCCAGGAGGCTGCTGTTGTTGGGACCCCTGGTGATCAGACACCACCGGAAAAGGCCGGGCTCAAGGAGGAGGTCAGATCCTCATAATTTGAAACTCAATGGATTGGGAGGAAAGGCTGGGTTGGAGGAGTAATCAATGTTTTCAATGATACCCATTTTGTTAGGAGGGGCGGGTATTGCTTCCAGGGGCTTGGCTACTCGTCTGCACGCACTACTACACATGATAGCAAGCCATTTATTTATATGGATTAGTTTCTTGGTCTTTGCTTCTAGCGTGTGATGCCGGCCTTTTCCCTAGGCCGAATGTAGCCAGCAACCAAGAGCAGTAGCATCGTTAATTTGCGCGTGTGAAAAGAGTCGGTCAATTTCTTCTCGGGGGTTCAAATGCCTATTGATAGAGAAAGTTGCAAGTCAAGTTTAAACTGTGCGGCTTTTTCCATCTCCTGTCAAACTAACGGATTGTAGATGTATGGGAGTGCAGTTGTTGACTTTGGCAGAGTTGCCCATGTACCGACTTACCTCACCAGCATGGAGCTGAGACGCCTCCGCCGTTCCACCCTCTTCGGGTAGACAAGGGCCAGAGTATTCACTCAGGGTATTCACCTCCAGAGCTCCACAGATAGACTTTCTTCCGAATTCACTGTGGGAGCAAACTGAGGCAGTAGGCCAGTGCTCATCAGATGAGGTACGAAAGAGACTTTTCACTTGCTCCTGCCCATTGTGATAAGCCTCTAATCACTTGGGCACCGAGTTTTCTGTGGGGCACCCTGCTCTCTTTTTTCCCTTTTATACTGCCCTATTTTCTCCTCAAGCAGTCCTTCCCTCCTTCTTCTGCCATCTTGTTTCCTCAACAGACCTACAGATCACCAACTGTCTCCGTACCCCCCTCAACCACCACCATCTCCAAAAACAACACGCATAACAGCTCGCCATGAAGCTTCTTACCATGGCCCGTGCCGTCCTCGGCCTCGCTCTTGCCATCACCGCCAGCTGCGCTCCTGCTGCCAAGACCTATACCGGAGACAGCCTGATCGCCGAGGGGTTCACCGAGGTGTCCGAGGGCGTCTACTTCAGAAACACCACAACCGCCCTTTCTGTCAATGGGTCTTCCTCTGGCAATGAACTCGCGGCTCAGACCCATTCCTGTCAAATTTCCGACTATGAGGGCACCACTGGAGACTACTCAGCCAAGGTCGATGATTGCTGGCAAGTCTACAGGAACGTTGCCGTAGATGGCGAGTGGTACGTACCTGGTTTCTTTGTAGCATCGTTCATGCTCCATTGCTTACACTCTTCAACAGGGTCATCCGCCAGGGTCACCAGAAAGTGGTTGCTTCCTACGGCACCTGCGTGTTCGGTATCACGGCCCACGGTGGCGCAGACGTCAGGATTGGCAACGTGGATGTTCACAGCGCCCTCCTTGAGTCCATCAGCCAGTTCGCCCGCCAATACCCCGGGGATAATTTCCAAAGGATCGGCGCTGTGGGTCGCTTCCAGTGTGGCTGGAATTTTGGCGATGCTTGTATCTGGGGGGTCTACGTCCGTTAGAGAGGAGGCAGATGAACAAAAGTTGGTGCCTCAGGTAGTTTGCAAGTTCATTTGAGCACATACCTGCTTTACGCCAACATCCTTTCTCCGCGTCCAACAAGTCTACAGTTGATACTGGGCCATGCTGTTTGAATTGCTACCTTGACTGGTTCATCACAAGCCGAGCTGATTACAACATCCCAACACCAAGGTGATCGCTTGAACCAACTGCAACTGCGAGATGATTAATTTTATTTACTCAAACTGTCCATAAGCATTCCATACAGACATGCTAGGCTTGGTACCTCTCTGAGGTCTCCCTATTGCTCTGTCACCGTCCTACTGGTCTGCAGTTTTCCATCTCTTCAAGTGAAAGCGCACTAAAAACATGCCTTCGACTCCAGCTAGGAATTGACACTGACACATTTATAGCTAAGCATGAACGGCACCAATCAACAGAAAGATCCCGCCGCATGACGAGGCTCGAACGAGGGGGGTTGAGAACCAATATTTCTATTCGACTGCATAGCTCGTGCGCAAACTCATCAGATCCTAATTCAAGACTGGTACTCAATTCCAGCCATCCAACCCTCTCTCCCAAGCCCATGACTATTCGTCATCGGGAAATCCTTTTTGGTAATAAATCTCCCACTCCACCTCGGCATCATAAGGTTTACAGACAAACTGGCCCCATGACTGGACTCTTGTGCCATGAGAAGAGAATTCCTTGCTGTAGCTATCGATGGTCCTCCTCAAGACGTCCCTGATGTCGTCGTTGCCAATATGGGCGAAAATGGCCTTGCCGCTGCGGCTCCGGAAAGCGGTGACACCGTAAGCGCAGGTTCGATATTCGACGAGCTGGTGCTGTAACCACATGAGAACGGTCCTGGGCAGGAAAGGTCAGTAAGCGCTGGTGACCCAAGGTAGACGCTTATACCAAGTGCCTGGGCCGACGATCCTGTCGTATATGACTTCGCAGTCCTTGCTCTGGGGTGAGTGCAGGTTGGTCTGGTCATGGATCTTGACCGACTCATAGCAGTGGTCATCGCGGGCTGCTAAGTTTCCTGGTGAAGAGTACGTGATGTTGGTGATCTTGTAAGGGCTGTACCAGGTGTGGTGGCCGACTTGGTAGCTGCCCGGGACGAGATCGAAGCCGAGCCGGAAGGTCTTGTTGTCGGGGCCGGCCTGCCCAAAAATGACTGTCTCGTCTGGCTCGTGGACGGCAGCAGCGTTGCCCAGGGTGAAGAGGGCCGCAAGAGGGATGAGAAAGCGCATGGTAAACAGCGATGACGGGGTGAGCAATGAAATTTGTGTATTGGACTATGTCATTTCGTGGTCAAGATATTGTACATCCAACCGAGGACAGGATCCAAGGAGGCGCAATTTATCTCCTCTATAGACGGGCAACGCTCTTAAACAGTGAGCATGATGGAGACCCAACCCGGCGGCGGCGGCGAGGGGGCAAGTTCCAGTCTAAGGCACGTGCCAGATTGACGGTATTCACGATCCCATGATGCTCTCAAGGTGGGGCATTCGGCCGATTCCTTTTTCTGTTGGGTAAAATCCGGAAGGCCCCCATTCACACTTGGGGTCGTGGGCGGAAAGAGCGAGCAATGAGGACATGGACGGTCGTGAGGAGCAGATCATGCGCTGGGGAGCTTGAAATGGAGGCAGAGGAGCTGTGAGGGCCGATGGTGAGTCGAGTGGTGTCGCGTCCGGTCACATCAAAGTGGCATTTCGACCCTTTGAGCTCTCAATGGTGAGCTGCGGCAGGTCAGCGACTGTGGTCCCAGCTGACGGCAATGCAGACTGCCTGGTGATGAGGTCAATGCCAATTAAATAGCAGTCTGCTTCTTCCTCATGGCCCGACCGAGTCAGGCTCACAATGAAAAGTAGTGGAAAACATCAAAAATTCCGGCCACGACGACCCCGAAGGGCAGACGATAACAAGCAACTCCTCTTTGTGCAATGATGGCTGCTCGCTATACCTCTAGGAATTCGTGATCTCCCGGAGGCTGGCCAAGGTAAGTATGAAGAAAAAGGAAAGCGAATAAAGGTGGGAGGATGGCCCGTGCGCGCATGCAAATCTTGTGGGCATACGATTCGTCTCGTGCGCTCTTCCAGTTGGCCCTCCACTTCTGCCGCTCGAAGGCATTCACCAGGCCTCCCAGCAGTGCCATCACCCTGTGAAGAGAACACCTACCTGAGAATTTTGAGTTCTAATCATACCTTGAGCTCCAAAAACAAGGCGTGTAGATGAACCGAGAACCAATCTCATCTTGTTCTGATATTTGTTGCCATGACCGCAGGGCTTGATTGGAGCGGAACCCAAGCATTTGGGCTACACAGCATCAATCACAACACTGCTTCTACCAGGCTTGCGTTTTCCTCCAGAGGCATATCAAGCATCTGACCATCCAGATCTACGTGCTGCAAGCTCAAACAGCCTGCATCATTCGATGCTCAGCCCTGATCTTAGCCACGATGCTATCAGGCGACAGTTGAATTGGTATGACCGCAAAAAGCCACTTGCGCCTCTGGTATCGGTCCAGTTTAATAACTTTGGTAAGTGTGGTATCAGCACCAGCAGGCAAGAGGCAGCCCGTGAAGATGGCTGGTTTTTCGTTCTCGATGCAGACGACGCGCAAACGAGCACGTTTCTTTATAGAAGGCTCGCGAGGACGTCTTTGTCGCCGTCATTCACTATCCTCGTCTCTATGTCTATTCCACTGGAAAAAATGTTCTTCACAAGAGGAATCAGGTGGCACAAATGCCTGGTCTTAACCATGACGATGGTAGCGGTGATTAGTTTATTTTCTTCTCAACTTCCGATGCCCGAAGGTATGGTAGCTGGGACGTGTTCAAGATATAATTATTAGGAACCGCACTGCTAGGTTGCTGGACATTCCTACCCGATGGTGGTACATACCCATACATATGGGGCTAAATTTGTGAAGCAAATGTTATCCACGCTTGATTGCCTGCATATGTACCCGATGTTTGCAGGAAAGTCAACCAACACGATACTGCTTCCAATATCCTCCTTGTCGACCGGATTGAGAGCGATGATTGGGGAAGTGGGTTGACAAACACTGCACTGAGGCCAACCGCCATGCCGGTGTCCTACTGGTGGCATCATCGCAGCATCGACTTTATTATAGGGACGAGGAACATCATTCTTTCCCATCCAAAGGTTTCCTCAGTCTCTACCCTCTGCTCTCACTCTCCCTTTCCCCTTTAGTTTCTCAACCATAGTAGCCCAGCACGATGAACACTCTCCAAGCTCAAGACTTTCCACAGATTCTGGAATGCATCGAGGATCAGAAGCGAATGCTTCGCAATGCCCAATCCTATGCTGGGCAACGACCTGCCCGAAAAAATGAACGTATAGAAACGATTCTCAAATTCAACATCGCTCGCGCGGCACGACAGCAAAGCCAGCAGTGCAGTCCTGGCTCCTTGCAGACCTCCACGTCGTTCATTCCAGCGCCCTACCCACCCTGTACCCGGCCATTTTGCGAGCTGGAAAAGTCCTGTTCAACAACCTCGTGCTCGAAACCCATCACAGAGGCACATATCTCCTAGTTCGAGTACTCACCCCTCAGAATCGAATGACTGCCGTCATGGCCATTGTGGAGGACGAAAAGAGCGAGGTTTTTTTGCTCCAGCTCTATCATCAGGTTGAGATGACGGAAGACATTCTTGTCCCTGGCGGAATATTGATCATCAAAGACCCATACCTGAAGCTCACCGCTGATGGTCGGCACGGATTGCGCGTCGACCACGTCTCCGATGTTGTTTTCCTACTGGCGCATGACAAACGCGTTCCCTCCTGTTGGCACTCGGAGCTCACGAACCCCCAGCTCAAGAGCGCCGACTTTTGGAAAACAAAGGGAAACGAATTTTTTGGTCAATCAAGATATCAGGCCGCAGTTGAACAGTAAGCAGTCTAGTCTTTGATGTGGGAAGCCTACTTATCCTGAGATCGAATGAAAGTTACACCAGAGCTCTGGATTCCTCCCCCAGAGCCGATGAGTGCCACATCATCAAGCTCAACCGATCCCTGGCATTTCTCAGAACCAACAGCTTTGATGCAGCTCTTGTGGATGTCAACTCTGTGTTGGAAGTTGTCAACGGCAAGACCAAGGAGAAAGCTCTGTTTCGCAAAGCCCAGGCACTGTACAGCCTCCAGAGATATCGGGAGTGTTGTGAGGCTCTCAAAGCCCTTTGCCTTGACTACCCCGACAATGCAGCAGCCAAGGTTAAACTCAGCGAGGCAGTGAGTCGGCTTGCTGAACAGACCACCGGTAAATACCAATTCAAGAAGCTTCATGCAGAGGCTGCTCGCCTTCGCCCGCCTCAGCTCGACCATGCAACATACATTGGCCCCGTCGAGATTCGTCAGTCTGGATCCCGTGGGAGGAACCTTTTCACCACCAAAGCAGTCAAGACAGGTGATCTTTTGTTTTGTGAAAAGGCGTTTGCATACGCATTTCATGAGGGTGAGGGAACGAGCGGTGACAGCAGCAGGCTGGTGATAATCTCCTGATTGACGTCAATGCCAACTGCTTCACCTCTGGAGCCCAGCCGGAACTCATCACCATCCTCGTGCAAAAGCTTTACCGGAATCCCTCTCTGACTTCTGCGGTCAAGGGCCTCCACTGCGGCTCATATTCGCCCGTTCAGGGCACCTTTGACATCATTGACGGAATGCCAGTCATTGACTCGTGAGTGTGCTCGATTCATCATCGGCCGTCGAACTCGGGCCCTGTTTGCCATACTAATGGGATGATTCTCCCAGGTTTCTCCTCACCCGCATCCTCCTCTTGAACAGTTTCGGCTGCAAATTTCCGGAAAAAGCTGGTGCTCTCAAGCGGCCGGTAGGAATTGACCGCCTCGGCAACCTATTTCCCTCGCTGGGTCTTTGGACCTTTGCATCTCATATGAACCATTCCTGTCTGAGCAACGCCTTCCGCTCCTTCAACGGGGACATGATGATCGTACGTGCGATTGCGGACATTCCTGTCGATGCCGAGATCACCATTCAGTACTTGAACCCCTTCAATCCGCAACATCAGCAAAAGTATATCATAAACTGGGCTTTTGTCTGCGACTGTGCCATGTGTGAGGATGATGACCACACAAGCGACATAGTTATTGCCAAAAGGAAGAGACTGGGAGAGTCACTTCAACAGTTGCTCCGTCTCCTGTCTCGGCGTGGCGGCTCTTCCGGCACTGCGAGCATTGCAAGCCTGATTCGCAAGAGCAGCGACCTGCTCGCCGAGATGGAGGAGACATACATCAAGCCCGCGGAGGGGGTGCCGCGCCTGACCCTATGGGTTGGCTACCGGGACTTCGCGTGCGCATTAACATTGACAGGAGCAGGCCTTAGTTCCAACTCCCAAAAGGCGATCGAGATTGGCTTGAAGGCTCTGCGATGCCTGGGGTTTGTGATCGAGGGTGGAAGTTTGGGGTCAAATCAAGGGTTGGTTGTGAAAAAATGGGGGTATATGGAGCCCGGAGAGCTTGACTGTTGGATCTGTCTAAAGACTGCCTATGACTGTACCGGATCTCATGAGCTGGCGCTGGCAGCTGAGGGGTGCGCAAAGGTGTGTTACAGAATTCAGCTCGGGGAAGCTGAGACTTTTCAGTGAGGGCTGGGACGGCGTCAGGTATGAGAGTAGGCTGGGTATGTTGTGTGAAAGAAACAACCAGAAACCTTGCCGGGCTTAACCCCTGAAATATGCCTGGTTCACCACTCGGAGGGTTAAGTGGCATCGTGGAAACTCGATCAACATGTACAGGTCAACTCAGGCAGGTACAGATATGGAGCTTTATGCAAGACATTCGAAACATGAACTTAATGATGACAGAAACTCTTCTCGCAATCGCAACGTACAGTAGGCTCCACTAAAAGGAGAAAAAAGCAAAACAATAACAAGAGGAAACCGCAGCTAATCTTCCGCTCAAGAATGCGTCGTCAGAAACCTCCCCACCACACCGACAAACCTGTCTGTTTCCTCCAAATGGGGCATGCTCGAACTGAGCGCAAACTGCACCCACTTGACCCTTGCCTTGGTCTTGGAGAACCAAGGCAGGACGCAAGCATCTTGCGCCGAGTCAAAGTATCCGTTTATCAGCAGCACTCCACCTGGGACTGTCTTTTCCGTCACCAGACCTAGCTCAGACACCACACTCCAGTCCTTGAGCGAACCGTTGATATCAACGCTGGCGGGTGTGCTTGGGCCTCCGTTCATGGCGTGATGAACAGTGTCATTCTCGGCAAGGCTATGCAAAGAAGTCATGAGTTCCTCTGGGAAGAACGGTTCAACTCGACACAGATGACGGCGGTGTAACTCCATGGCTGCTGTGGCGTGCTCTGGGCTCAGGGGGTCGGACAACGAAGCCTGGATTTCCAGTGGCAGAAAGGATCGCAGTTCTGCGCCCACCTGAACAAATGTTTTCATGCTGGAGGGGGTAGAGCACAGAATGAGCTTGCGGAGACCGGCCGGCTGGGTCAAGGCGTAGGAGGAGATGAGCATGCCACCCCAGGAATGACCGAAGAGATCGTATACGGTGATGCCCAAGCAGCGAATCAAATTATCCAGCTCGGCGAGGAAAAGATCGATGGTGAAGAAGCTTGGGTGATACTGGTGCGGAGAAAAGTGGGTGGAGCGGCCGCAGCCAACTTGATCATACATCACGACGGGTATGGTGTAGTCGGTGCTGATCAAAGAGATGGGGAGGAGGTAATCGTGAGGGATGCCAGGGCCGCCATGGACGCAGATCAAGGGAACCTTTTTGCTGGAAAGGTTGCCCCATATAGAGTAGGATGTCTCTGCAATGTCGTTGGTGGAGGGAATGCGGAAGCGGACGGTTCCTGATCTTGTCGGCGGTGCATAACGGCGGGTTTGGCCTGGAGGAGGAGGGTAGGTGGTGGGATCCATCTTGGTGGTTTTTTGAAGTCTGGTTTTGTCTTGGGTCTCTGGGTGGTTCTACTTTTTTGAATGTCGTTGTTGACCTTCGAGATGGCAATATCTGTAGTATCTCAGGTAGGTAATGGTTCCTCTCTTTGGTATTAATACTCCATCGCCCCCAATGTCCTCCTGCTTGAATCTTGATGTACCTCATTCTGATCCCATCGCCAAACTACCTTACCACGCTCACAATACCTAGGCATCGTCGTGAATAGAAACTTACTGTTAAACTGCTCTAGTGCCTCTTCTGATCCTCCGTGGTTTTGCGATTCGAGTTCTGACGTAAGAATCTGTTTGTGAATCGTCTATGAACGGTGCGGGTAGTGCAGCCGAGAAGGCTACAGCTGATGGGCGAATGAGAATGACAGATTCGTACTAGACTTTCCCGACATGGCAACCCGTATGTAAGCACCGCCAGAGGCTGGGCCTCGAGATCCGTACGAACCACTTCATGGATTCTAACCCCGGTCCGGTGCCCGGGAGTGTGCCGTGCCAAGGTTTTGAAACACACAGATCGCCGCTCTTGCCGCATCGATCTAGAATTGATGATGTCTACCTAGAGCAAAAATAGAGGTGTTTGTTTCAACGCTACGATTGAGTGCTCACCATCCCATGTGGCGACGGTTGTGGAGTGGAAACCGGGCATTTTCGTTAGGCAGCCGAATTGTCATGCTCGCTATTCATCCTCCTGCCACAGGCCCAACCCATGATTTCTTTGTTTGCACCAATATAACTATCCTCCAGTGGCTCGAACCAAGTAGCAGTCTCCACCTTTTTGTCCACGACGGTTGCTGCGTTTGAGATCGAGTATAGATTAGTATTGTCTGGAAAACCAATGCGCTGGCGATTCTTGTGGGCGAGACATGGAAGCTTGTTGATAATAGCCTCTCCAAGGTCCATCTCGCCGTCCCACTAAATCAAAGACTACTAGTCAATAACGTACCTATGTTGAGAACTCAAAACTGGGCGTATGAAGATACCTATCTGTTTGTTTGATAGCTACTTCATGCCTACCTAGTTCTATGGGCTTCGGGCGTCTAGCTCTGCCTGCCTGAGAGATGCCCGGAGACAGATAGGTGGGTCGACCTGTTATAGGTGCCTAACCAGCTCCACATGGACTTAGCCTCCACGCAACTGATGCTAGGAAACGTAGTACGAAGGTATCTGACCATGTGCAGTGGTGTATTCATCACCCGATGTGAGACACGTCTATAGCCGCATCTCACGTTAACGCGGTTTGCAAAATATGCTACGGGGCAGGATACCTTATCTCAGAACACTACACCGTCATCAGCAGCACCAAGCCCACCTATCGTCCGTGGCGGTGAAACAAGCACTGAGGTGATCTACAAGAAAACTGTCGTTACTGGCGAGTACTGCAGGCCATCGAGAAAGATGATGAGGTAGCCTCCTTGTGCGGCTCGGTGACGACGGGCAAGGTGGACTTTTGACAAGGCTAGCAGCGGTGAGAGCTTCACAAGGAGGCAATATGACGCTACGCCCTAACATTACACCTGTCTGCCAGCCTCTCGTGCGGTAATGCCCCTTCCCAATATACGCGGCATCGAAAAGACACGTCCAGGGTCTAGAACAGTCGAGGTGAAATCACCAAGCCGCTTCATCAGGCAATTGCCTGTTTCGCCGCACCACCCGATGAGCTTGACCAAGGAGTGATGCACACCTCATCGAGCTCATCTCGCAATGATAAGGGGGCGCTGTTGGCCCGGTGTGTTGAAGGGAATGCGGTGACTGCATCCAGCTTATCAGTGGCGTGCAGGAAAATGGACATGGCACCGGCGAGAGGAGAAAGGGCGTCTAATATTGTGAGCTGAAGATGAGGGAAGGGAAATTCGACCCCCACGCAGCAGATAAACGTTCCCAATTCTCAGAACCGGCTTGCGGCTCATGATCTTCAGAAGCTTGTCTCTGCCTGGGCTGTGCTTGTGTCTTTGCCGGGAAGGAGAAAAGCCTCCGAGCATGGGAGATATCGTCACAAGTGCCATGCGGCCGGTGAAACTATCGAAACCCACCTTTGGAGAGATTCTTCGGATGCCTCAGAGAAATTGGCTGTTGTGCGGACCGGCTCGGCGCTCTTCAGCTCGGTTCAAAAGCCCTCAGAATTCCACTCCGTGAAATTATATCACTTCATGGAGCTTGCGGCTGGAAGGCATCATAGCACACAGGAAGCAATCGCATTCCCTGAGGCCTGTTTGCACTGACCTCCAAGGCGACCAGGCGTTCCATGCCTTGTGGCACGACAGAAAAAGGCGCTATCGATGCGCTGGAGCTGTTGTGGAAATTAGCACAGGCCCAAGAGGGAATCACTGAATGCCACAAGCGGTTACTGCATGATGTCTAGGTCTAACCTGAAGAGGACGAAGAGGTGAAGGTGGTGGGCAGGAGAAGCTGCAGGAACAGGGGGGAGGCGCCCAGCCACAGTCCCATGTTCAAGACCCTCGTTAACCGAACATTACGATTGCATTCGTACTGCGTAATTTACGCGCCCGTACACTCTTTACAGATGCCAAACAAGCATCGCACATTTCCACCGCTCCAGAACGCTAGCCACGCTGTCAACCAAGAAAAGTCTGTCTGTCCGATCCATTGGCGAGCTGAGAAAAGAAGGGATTGCTTTGCAGGGTAACACGACCGCATTTCTGTGTTCGGATTCGCCCAGTGTGCCCTGGTGGGTGGTTCAATCATCCCATGAGGCCATTGGGGGGTCCGGAGGATGAAGTGCTGAAGAATGTGTAGTATACACTAGGCCTGGCGAGACCATGGTTCTGCTGCTGATCGCAGATCGTCCGGCTGTTGCTGGCTGAAGATCGAGATCATCTCCATCGCGCCCTGGGCCGGTGATGATCGGTGGGGTTGTGGAAGCTGTCAAAAGTCAACTGTCAGCGAACAAGCGCGAGATTTACCGCTACCCGAAAGAGGCAGGCATCCCCTGACCCATTCTGGCCCCTGCAGCCCAGCGACGGGACCCACCCATACGAACAGACAAGGGGGCCCCTGGGCGATAAACTCTCGCACAGGTGGGCGCCCAGACGCATGGCCAGCTCCGGATGCCTTCAGCTGCCCAGAGAGGTGCCCGGGCCTATGACCATCCCTTTTCGGGGCGTCCAGCGTAACGCTCCCCCTACATCCCGCTTTTACCACCACCACCGTGCCTTGCTGTTGGGTGCGGAGCTCCTCTTCTTTCGTTTTTTTTTTTTGGCATTTGTGCTTGTCTCTGCTGCAACACCAGACTGGTGTCCATCACGCCCATTCAACCCCTCCCTCTACCCCACGATCGTTTCCCTGGTTGTTTACTCTCGTTGATCTTGCAACCTCCAACTCCTGCTGCCCTGACAGCTCGACGGCGTTGTGCTCCGGCCCCGCCAACTTGGTATAAACAGCAGCCCATCAACAAGCCCAAGAATATCTCACATGGATCACCAACAAGACTACTATGGCCCTGGCCAACCAGGCACCGTGAACTCGAGCGCCGCCCCAACACCACGACGTCCGGGCTCGCTGAACGACCCAGACGGACGGAACCCCTTTGGCGATGGTGTCGAGTCCCAGGCTTCCCAGAGATCAGTCAACAATGGCAACCCATTCTCCAGCCCGTCGGCATCCCGCCCACCAAGCAGCTTCGACTCTTCCTCGGCCATGGGAGCCCGCTATGAGGACAGGGGACAGCGCTACTTTCACTCGAGGCGAGTACGCAAGGGCGAGGTGGAGAAGCCGTGGACCAAGACGGTTGATCCCAAGGAAAAGTGGGTGACGATTCTGCCCGTGATCGGTATCGTTATCGGGTTGGGAATTTCGGGCTTCTTGGTGTGGGACGGCATGCGCAGTGTGGTCAAGCACAAGTACTGCCCAGTGTTGGAGGAAGACTTTAGCCGGGGCTTCAACTCTGACGTCTGGATGAAGGAGGTGCAGCTGGGCGGGTTCGGGTGAGTTTGAGCTGAAATGCTGCCATGTCGCGATACCCCAACTAACAATATCACAGCAATGGCGAGTTTGACATGACTACTGCGGGCGACGAGAACGTCTTTGTTCAGGATGGCAAGCTCATTATCAAGGCGACCCTGACCGATGACAAGTACATCTTGCAGAACCACACCATCAACCTCATCGATGACGGTACTTGCACATCCACCGAGTTCAAGCACTGCGTTGCTGTCACCAACACCAACAACGGCAACTCGAGCATTGTGCCCCCTGTGAAGTCGGGCCGTATCAATACCAAACCGGGTGCCGCCATCAAGTATGGCCGTGTCGAAGTTACTGCCAAGCTTCCCGAGGGTGACTGGCTCTGGCCCGCCATCTGGATGATGCCCGTCAAGGACACCTATGGAGCCTGGCCTGCGTCTGGCGAGATCGACATTGTGGAAAGCCGCGGCAACAACTATACCTACCCGCAAGGTGGCAACAACATCATGTCCTCTGCTCTTCACTGGGGTCCTTCCCCCGCCCAGGACTCGTGGTGGCGCACCAACGTCAAGCGCCCCGCGCTCCACACGACCTACTCTGCCGGGTTCAACACCTTCGGTCTCGAATGGTCGCAGAAGTACCTCTTCACCTATGTCAACTCGCGGCTCCTCCAGGTTCTCTACACCAACTTTGACACTCGGCTCTGGGAGCGCGGCAATTTCCCCAGCGCCGACTCCAACGGAACCTGGATCCGCAACCCCTGGGAACAGGGCGGGCAGAACGCTCCCTTTGACCAAAAGTTCTTCCTCATCCTCAACGTTGCCGTCGGTGGCACCAACGGCTGGTTCGAGGACGGTGTCAATGGCAAGCCCTGGCTGGACTCTTCCGAGAACGCCAGGAAGAACTTTTGGGAGGCCAGAAACCAATGGCTTCCCACATGGAAGTCCCCGCAGATGGAGGTCAGCAAGGTCATCATGTGGCAGCAGTGCAACGGTGACGAGGGTGATTTGTAGCAGGTTACGGCATTCTTCATGGGCATACAACAAACTAGGGTTAATCGTTTCCTGGGGTGGGGAGATATTTTACTGGGTGTTTTGGGTGTTATTGATAGATTGGCTTTTAATGTTTTTTGGTATATCGTAATACCTGTCTCTGTGTAACTATTTTGGTATTTGCTTGTCGAGGACGATGAGGAGCATTGGACACTGTTTTGGCAGCACAGAGATGAAGCAACAACAACATGGGTGTGCATTTTCTACCTGAGGTACTTGATCTTGATCACCTTGCCAAACGTTTCCCAGCGTGGAAATGATGTGCGATTGCATATCGATCACATGCTTTGTGCTCTTCAACAATTGACTTTGGGAGATCTGGACGCCACTGTCGATGGTGGGGGCCCAGTGATGGTGGTGAGGGACGGGAGGAGTAGCGCCATGTTGTGCCACCGTGCTGGTCTGGATCTCCAACGTCATTCAACCCGAATTGGCTGTTGTGGTTGTTGTTGTTGTTGAAGGTACCCACCTTATCTTCAAGCTCGGTGAAAGGTGAGCTGACTGCAGATCAGGGGTGTCTTTTCACGATGTCAACATTGGACCCAAAACGAGGATCGAGGTGCATGGCCCTGACATCTTATACGTCAAGAAGCATACAAGCTTACCCTTAATCCAAAGATGGGAGGTTGAAGTCCAACTCCATGTGGCTCACCAAAGCATGGCAGTTCCATGGAACGGTCTCACCTGCAGCACCACCCTTGACATAAACACCGCAAAAAAGTCCGAACCCCCTCTAGCAAAGTTATCCGAAGCCGCCTTGTCACGTATTGTAAAACAAACGAGTCGTCTTCCAAGTCCAAGAGCGTAAGCTGCATCTAAACCGTCCGGCCTGCCTGGAAAGCTCGTATTTTGGTCTTTGTGATCCACCACAAGAACCAACCTCGAGCGGATATCCACTCGAACCTTTGGGAGAGCGCAACAAAACCACAAATGATGGCGCCGACCACCGATGCGCTGGACACTCATGGGCGATACGAAGCCCTGGGTACGATGTAAGGAGTTAACGCCAGAGTTTCGTTCACAGCAATCAAGCACGACAGATGACGTGAGTAATGATGCCAACTACCGTTCCCGCCGTACAACACTTTGCCCTGTTATTTACAGAATACCAGGGCCGCAGCTATGTTTGTGCTTGTCTTACCTGGAGCGCGCGCGGCAGGAGGGGCGGCAGCGACCGAGCCGTCAGTCTCAGTCCCCTGAGCCCGAAAGCTCGGCGGCGTCGACAAATCTACGGTGAGCCGCCACGGCGAAGTTGACCAGAAAGGTATGCGATGCGAAAAGTAAAGTTTCTCCGTGCGTGCAGAGACTGAACCGAGCCTTGGGATTCTCAGCATCACCTTTGGCATCATAGCGCGATGATACTCGCCTGGAGTTGGCCATTTTATTCATTTATTTATTTTTTGTTCAGGGTCTGCCTCAAAAGGCTTGGCGAGGCCAAACCCTAAGCCGGTGAGCCCCTCGGCCGGCTGCGATGGATTGCTTTCTCGATAGGGCTTCCAGGTTGTTCGGAGGGCTCCACCACACGAGCGCTAGAAATTTCCTGAAGGCCGGGACACCGTTGACGGAAATGGTGCCCAACACGTGCCCAACGGTGCCGGCTGCTGTGGAAAAAATATGTATGTATTGTACGGCCGGTGCTGCTGTCTTCGGGGGTTCCAGACGGTGGAGATGGCTTCTCAAAAACGAGTCAAGCGGTGGCTGCACAGTCCCAAGGCAGGAAAAGCCATTGCGTAGCTGCCAGCTGAAAAGGGAGCGGTGTTATTGCAGAGGACGCATCCTGTGCAGCATTCGGCTGTGATATTGACACTGACAAACGCAGCCATGCATGTTGCTGATAAGAGACGCGATCCTGATGCTTTGTGTCTAAATTTTTATTTTTTTCGAGATTACTCAACAACCGAGAACCCTGGCCCTGTCTGCCGGTATCCAACATGATCGACGTCGGCGGAACCCAGCAATTTGGGTCGGCTGGGATGGCGCTGGCATCTTCATTCTTGAATATGAAAACCCTATTTTAGATGGCCGATTACCGAGATAGTCTCTGGTGTTTTTCGATCCGAGACCTAACAGAGCTGGACGAATACTGGGAAGCCCATGACGGAACAAGTGGCCATCATTTGTTCTTATCGTCCCTGGGAGACCCTGAGTCGTTACCAACCTGTGGGTTCAGCGGCACGGTTCACCGAAAGGCAATGATGAGATGAACAAGAGCGGTGCACGGTCTCGGATATCAGATAGGACCCCTCCGCGGCTGACTTTTACGGTGATGTGAAAAAGAGACCAGGTTTTTCTGGCTTTCTCTCAAGAAGAGGTCGGCACGGGATTCGCGCAGCGACTGGCCAGTTGAGATGTCGGAATTTTTCTGTCTGGCGGGTTCGGGTTGTACAGAGATAGGGGAATACGAGAAGACGGCAGCAAACAACGTTTATGAGCCAAAAATAGGTAGGACAGCTGCATAACCTCGGCCAACAATTGTCGCCTTCCTGATCAGATTGTTCCTGATCAAAATGCGAGCCAACGGATCCAACGAGTAAAAGCAAACACTTCCTCTTCTCTCTCACATCGATTGATTAGGGATCTGAGGTACCTACCTTATGGAGATCGGGAAAACATGATGTGCGCGGGAATTTGGTCGCGGCGCTGCAAATAAGGTTTGGAGGATGAGGGGCACAGCGATTAATACATGCGGAATTGTCATCATAAGCCTGTACTCTACAATTGCAGTGTCAATAAATCCGGGTGACGCGACTTATCATGATGAAAATGAACATCAACAACAGCACAATCAGGTAGTTATATATTCTAGAGGTCCATGACCAAATTGGCTACCATAGCGAAGTGCGAGCCAGGGTTGTAGTGACTGGTAATGGTGTCCGTTAACATACCAAGCAGAAGTGTCCTGCAGTCCTCTATTAACTTCACACCACTGCATCAGCGTCTGCAATGTAACATACTATGGCGCGATACAAAATGGAGCATGTCCCCCACCGACAGAGGGCGCGAGCGATAGGGGGGGTCGCAAAGCAATAAACAGATATAATAAAAAAAAATATTGCGATAAATAGATGTGGCTGCCATCCAAGAGCTGAGCTGGAAACCCACCGCTGTCGCATTAGTACCGCATTCTTCTGCCCCTGTCACCCCACCTTTCTGATGTGACAGGTATCCGTATCGATGTATTTCAGTGAAACTATTGTTTCCCCCACTTTCCACCGAAAGTACGAGAGCAAACACTTCGCATTGGCGTTCCCAAAGGCGCTGAGAAAAACGCCATGAAATTTCCCTAACCGCCAAGCTTCCAGCCTGTGGATGCGCCCAAAAATGGCGCCGGCGACAACGAACCGCCTGGCCCTGCCGATTTGGACACCAGGGCAGCCTGGACGGAGGAGAACAAAGCTTCGCCTACCCCGCCCAGTCTCTGAGCGCGGAAGGGTGACCTTCAGCCAGATCAAAAGTCACCACCAGCCAGGGCGTTGTGACAGTCAAACAGAGGATGACTGACAGCGGGACAGGAATAGGATACGTACCGGTAACCTGGCTTCCGCTATCACCCACACGGGCCCTCCCAGGTCCCTCACCCATGCTGTGAAGTGAACACCACACAGACAGGGGGGCACATGCCAAGCGCCTGGGCTTCGGTGGTCGTCAAGACCCCCGGGGCCAATCGCCTCTGAACCGGGGGGGCAGCTTGCATCCCAGCTCCAGTTGCTGTCCACTCTTTTGATCCTCCCCCTCCCTGTCGCCGTCTCTTCGTTCTGTTCCTCCAGATCTTCGAGTTGCAAAAAAAAAAGTCAGAAAGGCTCGGGATCAAAGGACAGGACAGGAGCTGTGAAAGCTTGGGCGCCCATCACCAACACTCCACAAGGCACTGTATTTGACCCAAGCCGTCGAAGTCCGCTGTCTTGAGCGTCCTTCACCCGTTGTCTCACTCGCCTCGCTCCTCCGGCTTGGAGCATAAACAGCAAGCCGTCCACTCGCTACCTTGACTTGGTACCACGCTCGTTTCGCCCAAGCATCAACACTCAGTCCCCAAGACTAAACAACAAGGTATGTCTTTGGTGTGCGAGGAGCGGTGGCGGATGCTGATCACATACAGACGTCAAGTTAAGCATCCACTTGGGTGTTAAGGTTGTTGTCGGTTCGAGTGGCGCTCTCCACTGTGTGCTCTTGAACGAGAGGGCTTAAAGTTAAAGGGCCTCCCCACCCTTCCGGACCGGGAACTTGAACTTCGACCGGCAAGAGAGCACTTGGGAAACGTCTCTTCTCAACCGAGTGAGGCCGCGGTGCCTCGACCCCATCCAGCCATGGGTATCGGCAACTACTTCAAGGCCGAGAAGCCCGGCAAGTCGGAGGAGGCACAACAGCAGCAGCAAGTACAGCAACTCCAGCCCCCACAACCACGTCGAGGCTCGAGACAACATGGACACCAACAGGGCCAATCATCCGTCTCGGAGAAGCCGCCATCAGAAAGGTTGACTCACAATGAGCACGAACTTCAGCTTCCCACACCGCGGGGGAGCTCGAGGCCACAGTCAGTATCAGGTCGGTCCATCAAGTCAACAGGTAGCTCCATGTTCCTGGATGACATCAAGCACGAGGTCATGGTAAACTACCTTTACCAGCAGCAGTGCTCGCACTTGTGGGTATCAGATGGCAGCGGCGAGATTGAGGGCGTGCTGTTGCGCAAGTCAAGGGGACAGTACATGGCCTGCCCACCATCACTTGGAAACTCACCATTCGCCATGGCTTGCGCTGCGCTCAATGTTCAGGTATGTGGACTGCTTGCTGTTTGAGAACGCGCCAGCGTGTATGCTGACCCGGACCGTAGTGCGCCATGACTGTCAACTCCAGAGTTATCAAGACCTTTTTGGCCTGGTCGCCCGATGCCGTTGATGTGCCATTGATGAACGGCTTGCGCGTTCAAATTCTTCCCACTATTGACGACTTGCCACGTGCCAGAAAGCACCAGTTCGCCGCTTTTGTTGCCTCCGAGGGCCTCCTGATTGTGTGGGACGACGAGGCGCTACACCTGGTGGAGAGAGCGAGGGGTATTGAGAAGGAGCTGATGGACTTGGTCTGGAAGGCTGGCGCTGAGGAAGATGAGGAGGAAAAGGGTGGACTTCCCATCCCTGTGGAGGCCGAGGTTGACGAGGAGAGCGGAGAGTTGAAGCCCGAGAAGAGACCAGTCCATCTGCTCAACACCTATCTCGTCAGCTTGACCCTCATTCTGGTCACCGTCTCTCTGGGCGCCGCCTTCCGACAGCTCGCCATTGAGGTTTCGGTCGACAACAACTACACCCGCTTGGCCCTCGTCGCCTTGTTCCCAGTACAGATCTTCTTCACGCTCTTCTTCGCCCAGGTTATCGTCGGTTGCCTGGCTCAAATCTTTGGTCCGATCCGCCAGCTCACCATCAACTCCAAGTTTTACTCTGCTCGCCCACCTCCGAGACTGCAGGCGGCCATCCTGCCACACGTGACGGTCCAGTGCCCCGTCTACAAGGAGGGTCTCAACGGTGTCATTGCGCCCACCGTCAAGTCCATCAAGCAGGCCATGTCGACATACGAACTGCAGGGTGGATCTGCCAATATGTTCATCAACGATGATGGCCTTCAGCTGATCTCGGAAGAAGACCGCCGCGCCCGCATCGAGTTCTACGCCGACCACAGCATCGGTTGGGTTGCCCGTCCCAAGCACGGCGAGAATGGTTTCACTCGCAAGGGCAAGTTCAAGAAGGCTTCTAACATGAACTTTGCCCTCATGATCTCGTGCAAGGTCGAGGAGAAGCTCGAGCAGATTCAGCGCACCCCGGATTGGTCTCAGCACGATGAAGCGATGGCCTACGAGCGTGCTCTCAAGGAGGTCCTCGAGGCCGATGGCCGCGCCTGGGCTGATGGTAACATCCGTGTTGGTGATTATATCCTGCTGATTGACTCTGATACCCGTGTCCCCGCCGATTGCCTGCTCGACGCCGTCTCCGAGATGGAGCTCTCTCCCGATGTCGGCATCATGCAATTCTCGTCCGGTGTCATGCAGGTCGTCCACACCTACTTTGAGAACGGCATTACCTTCTTCACCAACCTCATCTACAGCGCTATTCGGTACACTGTCTCCAACGGTGATGTCGCCCCCTTTGTCGGTCACAATGCCATTCTCCGCTGGTCCGCTATTCAGCAGGTCTCGTATGAGGACGAGGATGGGTACGAAAAGTTCTGGTCCGAAAGCCACGTGTCGGAAGATTTCGACATGTCTCTGCGTCTCCAGTGCAATGGTTACATCATTCGTCTCGCTGCGTGGGCCGGTGAAGGGTTCAAGGAAGGTGTGTCACTTACCGTGTACGACGAGTTGGCCCGTTGGGAAAAGTATGCCTATGGTTGCAACGAGCTGCTCTTCCACCCTATTCGCATGTGGATCTGGAAAGGGCCATTCACGCCTCTCTTTCGCCGCTTCCTGTTCTCCAACATTCGCTTCACCTCCAAGATCACCGTCGTTTCTTACATCGGTACCTATTACGCCATCGGCGCTGCCTGGATCATGACCAGCGTCAACTACTTCCTCATGGGCTGGTTCAACGGGTACCTCGACAAGTACTATGTCGACTCGTGGCAGGTTTGGTTCTCCATCATCATTGTGTTCAACGGACTGGGCAACATCGCCCTGGCTGTCATGAGATACCGTGTCGGCGAGCGCAACATTCTGTACGCCATCTTTGAGAACTTCAAGTGGACCTTCTTGCTGGCCATCTTCTTGGGTGGTCTCTCGCTGCACGTTTCGCAGGCCCTGCTGGCCCACATGTTTGAGATCGACATGACATGGGGTGCCACCAGCAAGGAGGCCGAGTTCTCCAACTTCTTCATCGAAGTGCCCAAGGTGCTCAAGAAGGTATGTTATCTGTTTTGCCATCTCCACACGAGCATCATGCTAACACGGCCATCAGTTCAAATTCTCAATGCTTTTCGCCTCGCTCTTCATTGCCGGCATGGTCATCCTCGCCGTTGCGCCCTTTATTCCTTACAGCTGGCACATCACCGACTTTGTGGCCATCCTTCCCATGGCGACCGTCGCGGCATCGCATCTGTTGCTGCCGCTTGCTCTCAACCCAGCGCTGATGACCTTCTCGTGGTAAATGATGAGCCACGACCTCGAACAACAAAAGCGTTGCACTTTTTTCTTCTCTTTTTGTCACGTGCAGCCATGCATATATCACATACAGCCCGAAATATACTTATTGTTATTACCGGCACCTCTCGCCAAAACAAACACTACAAAGACTTTTCTTCTGCTGTCAGATATACACGACTCATATAGACCAGGAAGACAATAGGGGGTGGGATTGGTACCTAGGAAGGCGGAAGTTTGGAGTTGGTTAGGGGTTCTTGGATTTATTGTTTTATTTATTTGGTTAATTTGATAGTGCTGTTTTACGAGGATGGGACAACCTTATTGGTAATTACCTATTCTTTTTCTTCTCATGATAGTATGTGAGTGTAATACCTCGTGGAAAGCCTCGTGGAACCACGATACCTAGCAAGAATGGAACACGATTCAACCACATTGAGGCAGTCATAACGCGTTATTGTGCGCCAGCTTTTTGTCGGTACAATCGATATACGACTGTCAGTAATTTAGAGTCGAACCTGCGTTAGCGCTCACCTGCTCCGGATCGCTACCCTTCACGACCGCACGTAGTCGGCTGTACACTCGCAGTACATCCTCCTACAGCATCATCAGCCTATCATGTCAAGTCTTGCGGTCTCGCGATGGCCGAGAAATCAGGGTTGGCAGAGCTCGACGTACTACCGAATCTCGTATTAAGGAGCGGTCTCCGATCGAGTCTAGCTGCGAAGCGCTTGCCATGCAGATGGCGCATATGCAGCTGCCAATTGCCGCAGCGCGCGCACCAGCGATAGCCTCAAACTGAGACACGCAGATAAAAGACGATAAGCAGGTTGCGGGTTGCCAAAATCACGGTGGTGCATCTACAGAGAACCTCGTCTGGGCTTGACCTGCGGCCTGGGCCAAGAACGCCGACCTGAATGACAACACCGCATATTCGTCTCGTGGCGCCTGTGGAACGAGAACTCGCACCCGATGGCTTGCAAGGCTTGTATCCCATTTTCTACCTGCATATGTCGAGTCCAGCTTGCCTTGCTCTTTTCACCCTTTCGAGAAGGGTATCGGAAGGTGAGGTACCTAGGAAGCGGTCAGTAGGTAGCCGTGGAGGCTGTTGTGGCGGCCGCTTAAAGGGGCTCTATAAGCATTGAGGTGGAGAGAAGATACAAAGATATAAGATAAAATAAAATAAAAGGTATTTCTTGTTGCTTCTCCCCGGATACATCTTGTTTGTGTTTGTGTAGGACGATAGGAGCCGGATGAGGCGATTGCCAAAAGTTTTGGAGGACCACGCCACACTACAATAACAATCATCAAACTGAGGAACTTTGAAGCCACAATATCCTATATCACAGCTATTTATCTCAAGGGCCTAGCTGGCGAGGCGAGATCACCGGAAGCTTCAAAAAGGCTGGGGGTGGGTAGACTCAAAAGACATCAAGTGCGCCTATCGACTTGTTTCGGGATGGTTCAGGTCTACACACTCCTCTTCATCATGCCGACAAGGTCAAGATCGGTATGGAGGGCTTCAGCCACTCTACTCAGTGTACTAGCGATGCTACCATCGCCGGTTATGGCCGAGACCAAACGGGCAGAGCCAAAGGCTTTGGGAGAGGTCCTCGCAGGCAATGAAGAGCTCTCGACATACTACAGTTTGATCAAGGTAAGGTAGCTTCCGGAACCCTCAGGGCTCGTTCATTCTGCTAATAGACTGTCTAGAATAACCCGGACATTCTTTTGCAGCTCCCTCACTCAGGCGGCGTGACTGTATGACCCCCTTACATGCCTTCTGCCGTACTTCAGCTGACATCCCCTACAGCTTATCGCCCCGTCGAACGAAGCCTTCAACAAGACCCAATCCTTAAACCTGGAAGACTCCAACCTTATCACCTCCCTCCTCCAATACCATATTCTCCCCCTCTCAGTCAACGTCTCCTCTCTCGAACCCGGACCATCCTACCTCTTCCCCACCCTCCTCACCTCCTCCAACTACACAAACGTCACCGCAGCCAAAACATCCTCCTTTCCCGCCAGCACGACGACACAACCGTCGTCACCTCCGGCCTCGGCACCCGCTCCACTTTCTTCGAGTCCCCCGATCAAGACATCCCCTTCACAGGCGGCTTCATCCAGATAGTCGACACCCTTCTCGTCCCCCCCTCCCGGCTAGAAATCACCGCCCGAGACGCCTACAAAGACCTCACCTCCTTTTTGGGGGCTCTCTACAAGTCCGGCCTATCGCCCGCCCTCTCGTCCCAAAAAGACATCACCATCCTCGCCCCCCGCAACGCCGCCTTCCAGTCCATCGCCTCCGCCCTCGACCCCCTGTCCAGGGAGGACCTCGCCACCGTCCTCAAGTACCACATCATCCCCGACAAAGTCCTCTCCTCCTCTGACCTGTCTGCCCTCGGCAACTCGACCGGTTCGTCCCTGGCAACGCTCCTCGGCGCCGACAGCAGGGCAAGCAAAGTCACCGTCTCCAGAGCAGGCAACAACATCTTCTTCAACTCGGCGCAGCTCCTCCAGTCGGATATCTTGCTCGCCAACGGGGTCATCCACATCATCGACAATGTCCTGAATCCGGATGAGTTCGCCGAGGTGCCCGACCTGGAAGCCAAATCCCAAACCCCCGTGTTCCAGGTCAGCAAGGGCGCCGAGACGCGTACGGGGACGAGGGTGCCGGCGCCGTTTACCACCTGGCTGCCCTGCACCACTGACTGTCCTGAGCCGACTGTGGACGCAAACACACAAAGGACGGCGACGACAACTGGAAGAAACGGAGTGAACAGCCAGACTAGCAGTGGAATGGGTGCCCAAGTGACGGCTGTAGCAGGCATCTTGGGCGCCGTGGGCGTGGGCGTGATTGGAATGGGGGTAATGTGATTCTGCACCTCAAATCCTTTGTTCAGTGTCATATAAATAAATAGTCACAAGTCGGAAATAATACACCACCATCAACACCTCATGAATCTATGCTCTATGTCTAGCGCCAAACGCCTCTATCTTCTCTGGTAACCCCCTCCCTTGAAGCCAAATTTTGAGCCCATCCCAAGTGCAAACTTGATCTAGAAAGGAAACCGCTCTACACTGCCCCTGACCCTCTACGTTATAAACAGACCGACGCCATGCCATGCTCAGGTTACATATCGCTGATCGCTGAGTTTCCGCAGTATATAGAAAGCCATCCAAAAAAAGCCAACCATCTTCATGCTTGTCATCGCCTTTAGTCGTCCGCCTCATCATCCGTATCAAGGGGCTTGGGGGTGCCCTTGGGACTGTTGAGCCAATCGATGTGCCTCAACCGGCGCCTGGCCTCACGTTCCTTGAGCTCTTTCTTGGTCATCTTCTTCTTCTTTCTCGCCCGGAACTTCAAGGCCTCGCCGGCATTGTCCTCGACACCGCTGTTGACGGCGCTGGGGGCGGCGCTGCTCAGGGCGGGTGTGTTAAGCCCGCTGGGAACAGCACTGGGGACCGCGCTGGTGTTGGCACTGTCTTCGAACCGATCCAGCGCAATGGCATTGTTGCTGCGATGCGTGACCCGCCCGTTGTCAACGTGCCAAGTCTCGGAAGCCAGGGCTCCCACAAACTCTTCGTTGTGGGAAATCATCACCACGCCGCCCTTGAACTCGCGAATGGCAACAGCCAGGCCACCGAGGGAGTCACGGTCCAAGAAGTTAGTAGGCTCGTCAAGCACGAGCAAATGGGGGTTGTTCCACATGGCACCGGCAATGACAACCTTGACCTTTTGACCTCCGGAGAGCGAGCCAATCTCATTGTGGTTCGCAATCTCGGGATCAAGACCGAGATCCTCAAAGTGCTTGCTGATGACGGAAGGCTGGAGCTCACGGTAACCGAGACCTTCACGCGAAGCCTCGTGGTCGTCAAACTCCTGCACCAGCTTGTCGAAGCCGAGCTCGAGCAAAGTCTCGCGAGAAAAGTGAGAGTTGTGCTTGGGCAGGAAGCCACGCCATTTGCTGTTGGTCGCATGTTAGCAAGAGTAGATCAAAGCAAGATTCGGGTCGGGTCTGCTTACATCTCGTATTGGAATGTCTTCTTGTACTTTTGGCGACCGACAAGGGCCTCGATCTGGCGAGGAGCCTTACCGCCACCAACCTCGACAAACTTGTCCATCTGCTCGCGATCCTGGTCGGACAGCGCACGGGTCTGCTTCATGTGCACCTCACGATCGTCACCGTGGGCATAACGCCATTGAAGATACTGGTTGGGCGTCTTCTCGAGATGCATTTCAACGTGCTCGAGGGCGTGCTGCTTGATGTAACCGATACGAAGGTTGGGGTGCTTCTCCACCTTTCCAGTGGTGGGAATAACTTCACCGGTCAACAGCTTGATGAGGGTAGACTTGCCAGCACCGTTGGGGCCAATGATGGCAACACGCGACGACAGAGTCAGCTGGCAAGAAGCATCTGACAAGGATGGCTTGGGCGCCTTGGGGTATGTGTACGAGACGTTGGTCATGCGGATGATGGCGCGTGTGTTGGACTTGACACCGCTCAGAATGCCGGGGGGAGGAAACTTGAACTGGACGAGCGAAGCAGACAGAGTGTAGTAGCTCTTGGCCTCGGGGCGGCGCTTGACAAAGGCAGCAAGGTTGCCCTTGTAGTGACCAAGCTTCTTGTTGGGCTCGTAGTGGTAGATATCGGTGGTGACCTCGTCCAGGAAGCCCGAGTCGTGGGACACGATCAAACTGGTGATGTCGGGGTGTGTCTTGAGGTAGTTTTCAAGCCACTTGATGTTGGCGACGTCCAAGTGATTGGTAGGTTCGTCGAGCAACAAAACATCGGCTCTTTGAAGCATGGCACGGGCAAGAGCCAGCTTCATCTTCCAACCACCAGAGAGAGACCCAACCTTTTGCGATTGCCTGCCCTCGGGGCCCGATGTGAAACCGAACTCCTCCAAGACGGCAACAATGCGCTCCTTTCCTTCCTTGGCGATGGTGGGATCCTTGGAAACAAACTCGAGAATGCTGATATCGGCATCCTCACCCTGGTTGTGTTCGACGTAGCAAGTGCGCAAAACATCTTGAGACGGGAAGCCCTCGAGCTTTCCATTGGCGATACTCTTCATCAGAGTCGACTTTCCAGCACCATTGCGACCACACAAGCCGTAACGATGACCCTTCAGGAGCCTAAGGTTCGTATGCGACAACAAAAGCATACCACCATAAGCCAGAGAGAAGTCGGCGTTGACAATCTCAATCTCACCGTCGTCTTCCTTTTCTGGAACACCGTACTTACGCGCATCCTCTTCCACATAGAACTTGTGAACGGCCTCGGCGACGGCATCGCTGGCTTCGGGCTTTCGCAACAGGTCCTTGAGGTAGGGCGCAATCTTGCTAGGGATGCGATCAAGGTGGCGGTGGTTGACGTCTTCGCAAACCATTGAGGAAATAAATGGAGCGCCCAGCTTGTAGAGGGCTTCGTCGCCATTCAGACCGCCGTTCTTCTTGATTTCTTGGTCCAACACCTTGGCAACATCCTCAGCAGAAGTGCGCTCGATAATTGTCAAGGATGCCGAGTTGTCGTTACCCATAGCCTTGTCCATGACGGCCAACGCACGGGTGGCGATCTCACGAACCTCGGGGAGCGAGGCGCGGTTGACGACGCTCTTCACACCAGGCTGAAGCTTGGGGAGGAAAGTACGGGCCTCGATGGGGTCGTGAACGAGCTTGGTCAAGTTCTCGGTAATGACAACGGTCTGGCGGAGAACTTCTTGGGGAGTCGAGGGGTTGTTGAGAGAGCGCTCCAGGAAAGGAGTCAAGAGGGCGAGAACGGGAGAGGTGACGATGGCGACAAAGGTTGTCTGGGAGAGGGCGTGGATGGCCTTGTGCACCGCCTCGACAGATGGGTGATGCATGGTCTCGATCAGGAGAGGAATGCGAGATGCGACATCGTCGTTGGAGAGAAGGGTCGTGATGGCCGTCATGGTCTTGAGAGCCTGCTTCTCGACCTCGGTCTTCATATCCAACATGCCATTCTCGGTGATGGGAATCAGAGTGGCAAGCTTGGAGCCCATGGCCTCGCGCATGATATCCTGCTCGGCGGCCTGCTCCTTGGTGCTGCCAATGGTGATCTGAGCCTTGTTGGCCATCTTCTCCATGATCTTGAAGGCGCCGACAACACCTTGCCACTTTCCACCGGCCTTCTTGATGTACTCGACGATGGCGGGCAGGAGGGCAGCGACCATGGCCTCGGGGCTCAGGTTGGCGAACAAGGCATCGATGCCGTACTGGGCAGCCTCGCGGACAATGGCGCCCTTGTCGGCAAGGGCATCGAGAGCAATCTTGAGAAGACCACCATCCTGGATGAGGAAAACAACCTCGGTAATGGGCGCAGCTGGGGGCAGCCGCTCAAACAGGGCACCAAGGAGGTTTTGGGCACCCTCGCGGCGGAAACCGCTCTTCTTGTCGATGGAAGCCTTCTTGATCTCGGAGATGATGTTGTAGTGGTGGAGGCCACGGAAACCCGTTGTGTTGATCAGGATGTCGCAGAGAGCGTAGCAGGCTTCGATCGATTGATTGGACGAAGAGGCGTTGAAGATGGTCTCGAGGATGGCTGCGACGTCTGCCACCGGGGGGGCAGCGCCATTGATGGGAACGACAGTCATGGCGGTATGCGGATCGCTATTGCTGACTGAAATCCTGCAAGAGAACGCAAAGAGGGACACGCAGGGCCAGACGGGGTCTCGGGGGAAACCTGCGCTGGAAATGCGCACTGCGGTCAGGCGCGAAGGGGGAACTGGTCTCGACAAGTGTGAGGCGCAAGTCGGTGTAGAGATAAAAAGATTATATGTGTCGCCGCAGACCCGAGAAAATGTCTTGCTCACCCCGCCACAGCGTGCATTTTTTTTGGGCACAACCTGTGCTTATCGGCTCTTTATCTGGCCAAAACTCTCTGGATTTTTCTTATCGGCTGCTGAATCAGCCATCTTGAAGCATGGGTTGGGAGGGGGTACCGCTGAGCATCTGTCAAATGTGGGGCCCCGCCAAAGCAGTGAATGGCGGGGCAGGCAAGGCTCTCCCTTCCTGGCAATTGCCCTGAGCACTACAGATGTATCAGTCTTCTCATTCATTTACAGGACATCGCTATCTTCAACCACTATCCATCTAATCAAATACTTATATCTTATTCTTTGTCCACCTTGAGCGTGGCACTTAAACCACCACTCCGATGTTTCAGGGGCCCTGAACCTTTCATTCGGGTCCGGGAAGAGCCGTCGCCACACCTTATAAACAGGACTCCAAGATGTGACCTTCGCATATCATTACCACATCATCTCGTAATTGCGAGCCCGGGTCCTGTCCAGCTCTGATCGTCTTGAGCCAGGTATGAATGCTCCATCTCACATCTTATCCAGGATATTGCCAGCCACTAATTTAACTCAGGTGGGAACTCATATAATGAGGAGGGAGCTCTTTGTCTCTGTGCCATTATCCTTCATCCTTCATCTCATATTGTTCTCTTTATCTCTCTAGCGCCAAAGGCAGGCACCACGCCGAGCCCACACATCGCACTGTCAAGCCAACGATTACCTGGCCGAAAGTTTTCCGCACCGCCCTCCTCCAAGTCGACCCGATATTCCTTTCGGACGCCGGCACCGGTCCCGTGCCTCGACAGTTACTTCAAAATTCAGCTGCCTAGAAACCTTTGGCTGCCAAGCTCACCGCTTGACTCGGAGGGCCGACAAGTTGGATGTGGCGTCGTGTACAAGAATTGTTGGTTCATCTTGACACAGAAACGAAGCAAAAACCCATGTTTTTACATAGGGCTGTGCTGGCTTCCGGCCAACAGCGTTCAACAACAGCATGCCGTGCGACCAGCCGGAAACATATCGACCCGTCCCGGAACGCGGTTCCTCGACCCTAA